ATAAAAGAAGATAGCAGGGCTTTTGCCTCGACTACAGGTAGTCTGACTACTGAGGTAATGGCGGTCACAAAAGCAAAGTTGTGGCTAGACACACAGCCTTTTTTTCTATTCACGCTTTCTAAGCGATTATATGAACATGCTTAAGAAGATAGAGATGGGGATGGATTCGAAGAAAATGGTTGGAGTCGCTGAGGAAATCTTCTTTTGATAGTAACGAGGCCACTCCTTTGCTGTGGGGAGAATTTTCCCGTTGCATGAAGTTTCACATAATCCAAAAATACTAATATTTTAATGTTTCTTTTATCTCATTAGCTCTTCTGCCCTTCCTATATCTTACAAGTTTCTACACATCCCAGGTGCCAATTCTGAAATTTTCTTAGAGGAAAGAAGGTGCATCGATGATCCAGACTCTTTTTCAGTTTACTCCACACTGCATCATCTTTCTTCTATCTTTTTATAACTTGTCCATGGTTGGTTCATTTTTGGGTATGGTTTTTTTTTTTTTTTTAAACAAATCAGCAGTGTTGAAAGTATTAGATGAAGAGAGAATGAGTAAAGGTACTGGAGGGCAGAGAAGAGCTGCACAAAGTGGTTATTACTTTGGAAATGAAATACAGGGAATGGGTAATAGGACTTGCTGTCGCTGAGGTTCAACAGCTGATAGAGGACATTCTAAACCAGGGGAAGTGATTATATACACTGATGAGTCAGGGACAGAAAAAGTGGATGTGGCTTCAGTGCAAAATCACGGGTGAGCAGGATGACTGAGGAGATGGATAGACTGGCCATGGAAAGTCGGCTGGGTCCTATTCTGGCAGACATCTATACGGCACACTTAGAACAAAGATCTTTGGACATTGGTAACTTGGGTTGTTATAAACGGTATGTGGACAGTATACTTACCCCTGCCTCAAACAAACAGCAAGCAGAATTAATACACACTCAGGTGAACCAGGCACTTAAAACACATATTTTTTTCCTACAGCATAAATGCAACAATGCCGTAGCATTTTTTGGACGTCATGATCAGACAAAGGGAAGACGGCACAGTACATCCGAAAGACACTTGGATGATCCAGTACACACATTTCAACAGTTTTGCAACCACCCAATGCAAACGTGGACTAGTGCGAACATTATTTAAACGTGCAGTGGGTCTGTTTCTCTTCCCCCTCTCCCCCAATTGTGCGCCTGGATCCACACAGGTAAAGTGTAAATTAGAACCCTGGACATTTCAGCGAGTAGATAAGTGTCTAGCCAATGCAACTCCTGTACATTTTCTACACTGTTGCAAACATCATAAGCCCAATCGTTGAAATATTGAGGCATCTAGAAATGTTTTTAGCTCTAATAAAACCTCCGATACACTTATGGACAGGAGGTCAGTAGCATTACTAGTTCACTACATACAGTGTTGAATGGTTCTTGTTAGAAACAAGTTAAAGTGAACAAGTGAGTGAGATTGAACCCCACCAGGACGTCCACCGAGCGATAAACAACCAGTGACTCAAAAATGTCACCATGCGGATGAGGATCACCCGGGTGAGAACCCCAAAAAACCCCGTTCAACATAGGGTGGGTTATATTAGGGCCCATGGCAACAGCATGGGACGCAGTAAGTTATCATTTAGCAAGTTAAAGAATTGCTGCTGCTTCTTAGCATTCACTCGATCGAAACGCCAGTGAAAAGTTTGGGACATTTGTCTTATTCCAGATCTTGAATTTTGCATGCACATCAGTTTTACAAATCTGCTTATTTGTATGCTGATTGTTGTTTCCTTGCCTATTATACAGATGCATTCCGACTTTGGAGGAAAATTTTCCTGATTAGTCACTTGTTATCACATGCTTTATACGGAGGCAGTGGGTCTGTTCATTTTGGGGGCAAAAGAATAGAACCACTGCTCCCTTCCCCTAACAAATCATGCTGTAAAAGTCTACTAATTAGAGATGCTTCTTTCCAAGTCAGAGTGCTAGTAAAGTGGATGTGCATACAAGTTCTGGGACACGACATAAGTCCAGAAGTTGAGAAACAAACAACCAGAACTTTCCCCAAAAGGTTTACAGCTGTCACCCCCCCCCCCCCCCCCCCCACCCCCAAAAGAGAAGAAATTAGCCCTTCATTATTTCTTATGTTTAGATAAGTGATTACTTTACAGTACAGGCCTAAACTGAGGCATGCGTTGGTACAGTTACACTGCTATGAATCTAGACATAGGTTTTTAAAACTGTCACGGGAATTCTCATCAAGTGCCTTGCCGCAGGATGTGGGCGATCATGCCTTTTCACAACCTGCAATTTCTAACAGCAAGCATCACTTCACTTGCTGACACCTCCCTATAGCATGACAAAAGACTGTCAAGAAAGTTCTAGTGTTGGCTTCCTGTCTCTTTCTAGTGGTCCCATTCCTTCTTGTATGTGGTCCCTTACCTTTTTTAAAACATGTGTGCTATCTGTTTTGACTGACTAATAGATTTTCAGCATTCTGTAAAATATCTCAGGCCTCAAGAAATTGTTGTCAGTGATATTGTGAGATGACAGAAACATACCCCTTCCATTTCTTCTCTTCCTTCAATTATCTCATTAAAGTGTTGGGGTGATGTAAGGATCCAAGATGTTCTTTCTAATGGTAGATTTCACCTCTCTCGGGTGGTTAGGGATTCCACTGCTCAGTCATTTACATGGTCTTCTGTTCTGTGCCCATTTGCTTTCTGTTAGAGCTGTACCAGAGCATTCTAGTAACATGGCCAAAGTTGGAATAGACACAATTATTATTTATGAGTTGATGGCTCATGTGTGCAAACTGTTGTTTCCTCACCTCTCAGGCAGATAGATGTACTCTGGGTGGCAGAGATACAATTTTATAGTCGAATAATGAGAATACTCTTGTCAAATAAAGAGTAATAATGACGTCTCGAAAGAAACTGACTCATATAACGAGTAAGGATTTCCAGCAGTTGAAGGAGACAATCTGCATTCTTTGGCCATGTTATAAGAAGGAGAAAACTCAAGTATACAGGTGACGATGGCAAAGTCTGACACATCTGGTTTACTTGTAAGCAAACTGGTCGTGCCGACATGCCTTGCCTCTCAGGCAGATGCACCCCGACTTTGAAAGAAACACCCCTAACTAGTCACCTTTTATATATCATTTAGCAGCAAGTTTTTTTTTTTAAATATTTTCTCCCAAAATGGGGCCCTGGAATCAAACACATGGAGGAACAAGACCAAAGTTCAGAGGTGGACAAAAAAAAAGATGACTTTCGATTGTGGTTTATAGAAGGTAAAAATGCAAAGAAGATTAAAAAAGCAGGTAGCATAGTACCAGGAAAGAGGGGCAGGGGCCCACCAGCAGGGAGATGGGCAGAGGATATGTGACACCTTGAGTAGAAAGGCTGACAAAAGACAGTTTCTTTCAGGCAGACTGACGCCATGCAAAACAATTATGATTGCTATCCAATACAGTCATTACTTGAGTCAAACAGGGCAACTGACATCATTCAGACAATTCCTTCTTCATTGTTTCTCTTTCAGAGTTTATTACATTTTGCTCTGTCCCTCTATAACTCACAGACCACTACATTTGACTCAGTTTCTATCTGTCAGGTTCACAGGCAAGTTATGGGACCCTATTATAGTGGAGAATTATTTAATATACTAACTGTCCCTTAACAAGCATGTCATAATAATGGCTTGCTGAAATTGTTAAAAGTCTAGCTGTAAATTGCAACTTATGTCAACTGCTTTTTTTTAAAGGTGAGCATTGAAGAATGGTGGCATACACAAACCCAATAAATTAACAAACACATATATTCTTCTTCTTTTCTCTACTGCTGGAATGTCGTGCGTCGTCAGGGCAGGAGACATACATTAAACATATGTAAACACACACCAACGATCAGACACAAATTAAATTAAATAAATTTTTTTAAATATACATATTTAAGAATAACCAGTTTATTCCAATACTGTATAGTACACTAATACATAACTGTGTAAAGAAAATGAATTCCGTGAGGGTGTCGATGCTCAGCAGCATAAAAAAGAGAGGAACGTCGCTGTAGCTGCGGGGTTGCGTGTGGACGGTGACACAGGCGGACAGTATTTTTATCAGCTGTCTGTATTGGTAGCAGAGCTCTTATGGTTTATAACCGTACATAGACAAATATTAGCAATGCTTCGTCCTGAGTTGTGAAATTTTGTAAAGGACTCTTTTTCCATGCACTGAGATGCATTAGGTTTACATGGTTAGATTTGTAATTACCAAACTGGTCAACATCATGCCAGCTGCCTTTACTTCTCTGGACTTTACCTGATATCCGCATTAGGCTGGGTCAACCTTGGAGCCCAGATCATTTCTGGATACTCATAAAGTCCAGCGAGGTCCCAATTTGAACCCAAGGCCTGAGTCCTAGGCAAGGCAGCTCCATGTGAAAGATTGCGAGTGAACTTTTTAATAAGTCACAAACAATCATGTTATGAGCATTGTCAGAAATATAAATGTAGTTACACTGTCTACTCACAAACTGAGTGTTTGCCAACACAGTTTAGAAAGAATACTGGCCTCTTGTTGCTATACAAAATTAAAATGGCTACAACTTTCAACAGTGGATTAGTTAATTTTTTTTAAGTGATCACTGTGTATTTAAACTAATTTACAAGCCAGAGAGATGTGTTTTCAAGATTTCATGATTATTCAAGAGTAGAGATTTCAATTTTTTTTTTAAATTGGAACGGGCTGCAAGAATATATTTTTCTTAAATTTCAAATCTAAGTGATCTGCTAAAATAATTTCTTTAGAAGCTTACTCCAAGAAATGGTAACATAATTATGATTTAAAATAATTAAACTGAACAGTGAACTGCTCAAACATTGTCCATGAAAGTGAAATTATTTAGAAGTCAACTCAAAATCAACTCTTGGAGTAAAGACATGTGTGGTGGTTTTCCATGTCAGTTCCAAGAGGAAAGTCTTATGTGTAGTGGTCTTCCATACTCAGTTTAGCCAGAACATCCTCGACAACCACAGTGAACACACTCCACAATTTTGCCCTGTAAATAAATGCCACACATTAGACACGAAACAAGGTAGACTCAAAATTAATATATCTACAAGTGAACAGCTACACCAGTATGTCATCAGCAGGTTTTTCTTCTAGGGTATACATGGGCATACACCACATACTCACTTTTGTAAATCATCATCATCATGTAGCAGGTCCTTTGCAGAACGTCGCTCTCATCACAGTCTGCCTGAAAGAAACTCGGTCTCTTGCCAGTTCTCCCACCTCATGCACTTTCACATTCAAGGAGTCACTTATATCCTGTGCCCATCTTCATGTCGGTCCGCCCCTGCCCCTCCTTCCTGGTACCATGCCTTCTATAATTTTTTACAATCCGTCATGGCGCTGATATAGCCACAATATTTCAGCTTCTGAGAAAGGATTCTGTTTATTAGCCAATCTTCCTTGATGTTCAGATCTTTTAAGGTGTCAATATTTCTCCTCTTCTTTGTCCAAAATACTTTTAGGATATTACATGATTTTTTTTAAAAAGAAAAAATTTTACTATTCTCCTTCAATCTCTCCTAATCACTGTGTGGGTTCTGGGGCTCCACTGTGTGGGGAAACAGATCCACTGTCCCCCTATCAAGCATGTCATACATTTAGACTAATTAGGGGTGTTTCCTTCAAAGTCAAATTGCATTCACCTGAGAGGCTGAGGAACCAATGGTCTACATATATAAATTTTAAAAAACTAGATCAGTAAAATGGATGTGCATGCAAAACTCTACTTCTGGAACAAGACTAAAGTCCAGAAGTGAACAAACAACCAGAACTTTCCAACTGAGTTTACAGTTTGTGTACACTAAGATAAAGAAGACTGCAAACACTGAAGCATTGGCCCTCAACTAACTCATGAAAGCCATCCATCTTTTTTCCACTTAGTGCAGCTAGCTACGTATCTTCCACAATCACACCTGTCTCTGCTTTTCTAAACTATTTATTACCCGACAGTTTGGATTGATGCCTTCACAGATGGGGATGCTGCTATCGATATCAAATAACGCACTGATGGCGGTCTATTTAATCTCAGGAGGCTTAGTGCTAAAACCAAGGTAAAGTCAGACACCATGAGAGAATTACTTTTCGTGGATGACAGTGCTATCTGTGCCAGCTGAGAACCTGAACTACAACATGGTGTAACCAAATTATCTAAAGCCAGCAGCGCATTTGGTAGACTCCATCTTGAGGTAGAGCTGGCATCCATCTGCAGACGAAGCTCAAAGTGTACAAAGCTGCTGTACTTCTTTATGCATGTTTACCAGCGCCATGATAAGAAGCTGAACCATTTTCACAAAGTATGTCTCAAAAAATTGCTCAACATAAAATGGTAAGACAGGATCTCTGACACTGAAGTCCTTGATAGATCTTCTTCTTCGCGTTCACCAGCTTTAAACTTCGGCAGAAAGTTCAAGGGATTGTCCACTTTTGGACTGCAGTCCTGTTCTAGAACCTGAGTGTTGCATGTGCATCTGTTTTACATACATGACTCATTTGTATGCAGACTGCTGGTTCCTTGCCTCTCAGGCAGATGCACTCCGACTTCGAAGGAAGCTTCCAATTAGTCGACTTTTATGACATGCTTTTGGGTGGGCAGTGGCTCTATTCTTGTTTTTCCTATAATAATAAGGCCCCGGAACCCACACAGAGATTGATGGAGCTCGACTTTCCAGTGTTTACTCGATTCTAAAATAATCACAACTTCGCTGGGCAAGTCATATAGTCCACATGCCTGACCACCGACTGCCAAAAAGAATTTTCTGTGGTCAGCTACAAAAAGGAAAATGCTCTCAAGGTGGACAGAAGAAATGGTTCAAGGACAGCCTCAAGACCCTGCTGAAAGACTTCTGTATTGATCCTCAAACCTAGAAGTTCCTGCATGTGAACGCTCATCCTGGTGCTTCTCTCTTCATCTATGAGCTGTGGCCCATGAAAGTGCTAGAACTGCAGCAGCAATTCAGAAAAGACATTGAAGCAAATCAGCAGAGAGATGCGGCTTCTATTCCTCGTCCACATTCCTCAAGAACTTTCAGTGCTAGAATTGACATTATCAGCCATCTGCGCACTCACAAAACCTAATCCAGACACCACTGGATGAAAGGACATCATCAGCTGTGATGGACGAACAACAAAAACAAATATCCCACAAAAGTAAAATTATTGGTAAAAAAAAAAAAAGACAGCGGATGTAAGAGACAAGATACTGGATAATATAAAACTAAAGAGCCCTTTTTCACACCATCAGTTTCTACAAAATCAACCAGCATTCAATGGACAATGATGTCAATAGCACACCAGTCACCTTTATTTCCCATGATGTTTCCTGATATTCATTTTAGGCTGGGTATTTTTTTTTTATTGCCCTATTTGACAATACGAGATAATGTAGTATTTTATAAAACAAATAGTATCATGTTTTATCTCTCAATTCACATGGCTTCTCTATTGTGTTAACAGGCTTATTTTAATTAAAATAACACACACACACCACATATAAATACTCTTCTGGAACTTAAAGATCTATATGCTGTTTGTTCATGTTGTGTGTCGATTCTATATTTAATGGAATTGATATATTTGCTGTGCAATACATAAGGTAACATTCTGGAAAGTTCCAAAGCTGGCGCACTTTTAGAATTTTTCCTTCGGACAATTGTCTTGATATCGACCTGTCTGTCATGTGATAAGAAAATAAGTGATACAGTGCATTTGTGTAGTGTTGTCTGATCTATGTATGTGCTGAAAAAGGCTGCAACGTTCACGTTTTGTTTGTTATATTGTGAAGCTCGATGATATACTTTTTGGTCGTTTTTTTTTTTTATCTTTCTAGAATTGTTTCTTAGGATGCAGAACGAGGTAGGACCTAATCGCTGCACAGTGCTGATGTTAGTCCTTTTATTTATGTTGTAAGCTTGCCAGGTACTGACTTATGGACTGGACGATTGCCACTGGGATAATGCATGTGTATTGTAGTCTCAAGCTAGTCACTCGCTGTAAACTTCAGGTCATTCGTCCACTACTGCCCATCCATTTCACAGATTCAACTCAGCTGTATGTAGACGGTTAGCTTCTTACCTCTAGGCCAGATGTTCTCCGACTCTGCCCATTATTAGTCAACTTTTGCGACATGCTTGTTAGAGGGGCAGTGGGTCTACTCCCTCTCCCCCCCCCCCCTCACAGCAGGGCCTCGGAGCCCACAGGGGGGTTTCCTCACAAATTACTTTCATCTTTCCAATAAAGCTGGATACATTCTCATCACCATACATCTGTTCACATTATACAGCTGAACTGTGTGTCTCTGCCACAGACATACCTTTGTCAACCCGTGGATGATTCTGCTTTTGTTTTAAATACTTTTCCAGCTCTGTTGATTTCTTCCAGAACCTTATTAACCCTTCTGGAACCAAGTATCTTGCTACACATTCACTGGTTAGTCCAAAGAAACTATTGTTTTTACTGTCTTCCCCATTACCTTGGATAGCTATTCTATCCTATTTGCAAGCTTAGGTACTTCTTATCCAGAAAGTTAGTTTACTCTTTCTCACCAAAATACTGGCAGTTTTAAAGCAGAACTCATTGAAGAAAGAGTTAAAGAAATCATTTATTCCTACCAAACAAAAAAAGTATATAAAATTTTCAGTTCTAAAACAACCCTGCTCTTCAGGAAAACCATGCACTAAGTCACTGATCTAACTTGCAAACAACCAACCAACAGAAGTACTCACCGATTCCAGCTTTGATCTGGGCACCCTACAAATACAGTTAGCACCAAAGTTTGTATCCCGAACTTGAATGCAACGCAGACAGCACAAGTTTTCATATCCCTGCTTCTTCCACTTGGCGATCAGGTTTTTATCTGCAATATTTTCCTTCAAGCAGTACTCGTATAATTCTGAAGGAAAAAACAACAACCAAGATTAAATAAAATATATTCTTATAATACCACATGAAAAAACATCCAAGAAGATTTTAAAAATGCAACAACAACCAAAAAAAAAAAAAGAAGTTACCAAGCTAGACCTAAGCAAGGAAAATTAAGCAGGGTGTTTTCTTTGTTTTGTATTAAGCTAAATGCTGGGGCAATCTTCTTCTTCAGCTGTACACTCCAGCAGAAAGTTCAGGCTGTTCGTCCACTTCTAGAACTTGGTCTTGTTTCCAAAACTTGAGTTTTGTGTGCACATCCATTTTTTTTATGCAGGCTGTTTGTTCCTTAACTCTCAGGCAGATGCACTTTGACTTTGAAAGACACATCCCTAATTAGTCGCCTTGTATGACAGGGTTGTTAGAGAGTGGATTATTCACTCTTCTTCCATCCTCTCCCGCACAGGGACTAAAGTAATTAAAAAAAATGTCAGCAAGAAGGCAAGATCCAATAGAGTACTGAAATGGAACAAAGCTGCTGATACAGAGGTCTGGCAATGTCTCTAGAAAACCTCTTTTCCTCAGGGTAAAATAGGATCGACTAAGTAAAGTAAGTGAAGTGGAAAGACACAGTATCAAGAGTAGTCTATCAGGGCGAACAAGGATGAGAAGAAGAATGTGTGCAGATCTACAAGGTCCGACAAATTAAGTAATGAGACTGATTTTATTATGGCCAAGACAAAAAGGTCATCTAGGAAGCAAAGCATGGACTATAAAGAGGCAACATTCATCTATGATCTGGCAACTTTTCATCGCCGCTCGATAAGCAGACAACAAACAAGCCGCCATTTTGTTGACATAGTCAGAGGTGCATTGTTACGAAATCAGCGCCGAGCAAAAAGCTCATATTAAATTCCTTTCAGAACTCAGAAAAGGCGCGATTGAAACAACTGAATTAATGCAACAAGTTTATGGGGATAATTGTTTTTTTTTTGCGCACAAATTTTCAGGCAGTATTTACGATTCAAAAGCTGTGTGGAAATTATTACTAATGCACCTAGATTTGGACTTCAAATTTCTGTTCATAATGATGAACTCATTGCAAAATTTAGAGAACGCATACAAAAAAAAATCATTGTTTTACTGTGAGGATGATGGCAGATGAATCTGGTGTTAACCGAGAGACCATTCATAACATTTTAGTGCAAGATTTTGGCCCACAAAAAAGTTGTCTGCTGGTTTGTACCACATTCGTTGTCTGATGACCAAAACACCAGCGGGTTGAGTACCCAAGAGAAATTAAAATAAGAATTTTTTGCCCAAAATCAAGTGTGTGTTCTCAGCCTTCAACCCTATTTCCAAGATTTGTCTCCCTGTGATTATTTTCTATTCCCAAAATTAAAGTTATAATTGAAAGGACGCTTCTTTAACGATACTAATGACATCCAAAGGGCTGTAACATCGACTTTAAGGACCATAACAACAAAAGAACTACAGAGGTTTTTCCATTGTTTGTTAGATCGTGCCACTTGCTGTATCAATGCACAAGGGGCTTACTTTGAATCAGATACAGGTTATATCTTCAACTGTTGATTATTTTCATTTTTATGGAATTAGTCTCATTACTTAATTGTCGGATCTTGTATTCTGGCCAAACTTAATTGTAGAGACAGCACTTGACTGATTGAGCAAAATAAAGGCATTTAAAAAGTTACAATGTTCACAATATTTATTTTATTTTTTCTCGTCCTTATAAGGATGAAATTTTTCGTTATTTGAAGCCCTACTCTGGCTTTTTCCAGGGGCCGCAATATGGCCTAAAGGCTGAACGTGGTTTCTGGGACCTCTCCACTGTGATCCTCACCCACATGGTGGCATATTGTGTCATTGGGTGTTTATCGCTTGTGTGATGTCCTGGTGGGGTAGAAAGTCAGTCAGTCATGTTCACAATATTTTTATTGCAAAAGACTGCTTTGGCAATGATTAAAGACACAAAAATGTTAATGGAATGTAAAATGTTAACCTTTTGGAGATGAAGCCTTTTTTAAAAGTTTCAGTGCCAAGAAGATGTAACCAAGATTATGTTACCCTCTGGAGACGATGTGGCCGAAATATCGGTCCAAAGCAGAGTAGCTAAGACGGTTGGACTGATCGGTCGGTCCTGTGTAAAAAAAAAAAGCCTTATATTGGCTGGCAAGTTTTTGCACCAGCCAGTCAGACTGCCTCTCACATTTCTTGCACATGTGGGCTGTTAACTGACACCTTTTGAGAAAGTTTGATGTGTTCTAAAATTGTTAATCCATTTTTTTCTGGAGTTGCATGTGCTAAAAAACAATTATGAAAAGGATGTTGCATCATAACAACTGAAACCTGACTTGAGGCAGGAAACTGAGTAGAACCATGTGCCAGACGTATTTGAAGGGCCCAAAGGGCCTTACTTCCCAAAATACAGGTGTTTGGACTTATTCAAGCTTCATCCATTAAACAAAAATTCTCCCAAATTTTTCAGGTTAGTTATGTTTGTGTCCAAGTTTTATAAAAATTGCTTGCATAAATTATGCAAATCAGAAGAGTTAATTTGAATAAATGTTAATATTTCAGTTTGATTCATAAATATTCTGTTAGTTCATTCAATTCCCTATATGAATTTATATAGTTTTGTATATGTTAATTAAACACTCCATTTTTTATTATTTTTGTGTATAAACTATGAGAATTCCCTTCAAACTGGCTTTCAAATTTGCAAATTTAGGTATCCTTTTTTTTTTTATTACTTAGGACAAAAATGACTAAATTGAGCAATCTGACTTATGAATGAAACCTGGATAAGTCCTAACACTTGTGTTTTGGGAAGCAAGGCCCATTTAGGCTCTCCAGACACCGTTATCTCTGGCAAATGGTTCTACTTTTTCTTCCTGCCTCCAGCTATATTGGTTGCTATGACAAAACAGTCCTTTTCACCACACACAAAAATCAATGTAAGATTACAGAACACATCAAACTTTCACAAAACGGTCACTGAACAGCCAATATGTCCAAGAAAGGCGAGAAGTAATCTGACTAGCTGGTAAGAAAACCTGCCAGCCAATCTCAAGGCTTGTATTATCAGGCCGACAGATCGGCCCAATAATCTTTTTTGACCATTTTGCAGTTTGGCCAATAGATCGGCCGAGTCACATCAAAAGTGTTAAAATATCAATATAACAATTACCTTTGCTGATCGCCTTTCTACGATAAAATAAATCGTAAATATAGCGAGATTTCTGATGGTGGAGTCTGAAAATAGGCCACAGAGCCTCAACTTTACGTTTCCCTTCATGAGGATCTGTTTCGGCTGGGAAAACAAAAATATTTTTAAGCATTGTTTTGACAAACAGGGTCAGGCTGGTTTATAACTGCTGGGGCGCATCAAAATGTTTAATGCGACAAAAATTATTCATAAAATAATAATAGATAATAAAATGTTGGCAGCAGCCTGGAACCTAAACGAGTCAAAATTCGGCTATCTTCCGAATAATGGTTCAAAACTATTGAGGCAGAAAATATACCCTAACAGGGCCGCAGTAACGTGTTAACTGAGCACCTGGGGCGACTTAAATTGTGCACTTCCCCCACCGTTGAGAGTATCCTCCAAGCCGCGTAAGCGGCGTGGATTGGGGCTAAACTAGATGGCTGAGACTCACGAGAAAGCTGGCCATCTAATTAAGCTCCAATCCACGCCGCTTACTCTCGGCGGTGGCAGAAGTTCGCAGTACGGCAGCGGTATAGTCCCTGAAAGTACGCAATTGACACGTGACTGAGGCCCTGTTAGTGTATATTTTCTGCCTCGATAATTTGGGACCATTATTCGGAAGATAGCCCAAAGTTCAACTGAAGACAATATTCGCAATACATTCTCATTAAATACACACTTACATGGTGTAGGTATATAATTAATTATTAAAGCTGTTAGGTTTTAAGTAAAAAGGAGAAAGCAATTGCAAGGAACAAATTACCTTTTCAAAGTGGCTACCCTCCAAATAACGGGCACATATTATGGCGGCCACAAAAACACCCTAACAACAGGGCCTCAGCCACACAGAGGCCGACCTCTGTGAAGATCAGGAAACTGAAGATAGATATGCTGTCTATAAAAGTAACAGCACATAGGGCTAGAGAACTGGCCAGAGAAAGACAAACGTTTAGGATGTTCTGTAAAATACATGCAACATGCTGAGTGACACTGGCGATGAAAAAAATCCTCCAGCCACTCAGTTTCTGAAAGTGCTGACAAAGTACATTCTCTATGTTCTAATTTTTTACATATTAATATTAAGCTTTAAAAATTAATATCTTGGCTATTTTAATTTATCTTTTAAGATTTGTATTAAAAACTACACTACAGTACTATTTAGTACAAATGTTAGAAGATAAAGATAAATTAAAATATAAAAATATATCCCTACCTTCTCTCATTTTTGTATCCAACTCATCAATTGTTGGTTCGATGAGTTCCCAACCATCAGGGGGAGGCTTTCTGCTTCTTTTAACTTTAGGCATCTTGAATGTGGTTCAGGTTGACTGTGAAATAATTAATACAGTTATGGTTGACTGCGATGGTCAATAGCGTACACAGCACGACTTTGGCGAATTTACCAGACAATCGGAAGTGGTAAACAGTTCACACAGTTATTGTGTATTTAACTGGCTGGAAGCAGGGTTGCCATTTTGGCATTTTTATGTCAGATTTGGCATATTTGAAATTGAACTGACATAAGATTATGAACTGGCATATTTGGGTTCTTCCTGGCTTTTCTTATCAATTTAGATCTACAGTTATCATCTTTATTTCAGTTTGACTTTGTTGTGATGTCCTGGTACGGACTAAAAGAGATTCGCGCCATTTTTTTTTTTTTTTTTGGTCTCCTAAATGGACCATGGCTTCGATAAACCCAGGCCCTCTGTAATTTATGTTAATCTACTAGAATAAATGCGGGAAATAAAACCAAAACCCACCACTGATACCAAGTGATTCAGACTGTTCAGAAACTACTTGAGGACAGAAAATAGAGAGGATATAGACCTAGTTCTATCTGTGATAGATTTTATTACTTTTAGTACCAATGGCCACGTCATCCAAAAAAATGGAAAGCATCTTAAGACATCGCAAGTATAATAGTAACTGGAAGAAAACATACCCACGGCTCAAAAGATCTTCAGACGGATCAGAGGCAGCCTATTATAAACTGTGTCAGTGCACTGTTGCACCAAAAATTAGTAGCATATCAAATCATGAAAAATCCGAAGAACACAGGATGAAATCTCTGTCAAAAAGCCAGTCACAGCTTTTTACAACAATGACTCCTAGGCAAAGTAATGATAAAGTTAAAGGCAGCAGAGTTGCAACTTGCTGTAGGCATGACCTGCCATTGTGCAATACGCACAATTTATCATCTAAGTGAAATCATAAGAGCGCATGGTCAGGGGAGTACGTTGGAGCACATACAGTTGCATAGCACTAAATGTTCATGCCTAATAAAAAAAAAAAATATGTTATCGCCTGCACTTAAGGGTGACCTTAATGGTGATTTTCGGAACAAGAAATATTCCATCATTTATAGATGAGTTGCAAAGATTTCATCCCATCTGAGAAAATGCTTAAAGATTTTACATCCGAAAAGGTTTACGTCGTGTCTTCCACTTGTTCCAGTGAGGATAGCTTTTGATGTGAAGCGAGTACAGTGTTACACTTTATTTGGCATTTTTCTGGCATATTTTGGGTAATGATATGGAATAAAATGAAGTTTTTTTATCTGGCAACCTTGAAACCTAGCGGCTGGGACATGACGTAATTTCCACATTGGGACTGGCCAAGGATATGGTCGTTGTCCGTTCCTGGAGGGTGGGGAAGAGAGATGGAGAAAGGCCAGTATAGACGACGAAAAATGGTTCGTCCGCACCCGCATAGAACTTCAGTTTGCACCAGGCTGGTTGCCCTTTTTCATAATCGAGTTTCTTTCAAAAAGGCCGTGATAGGAGTGTGCTCTATAAAGGTCGTACTGGGTGGTGAGTGGTCATTTGAGCGCTGGGCGTCAATCATTCAGAATGCAGTCCATGGGAAAGTAATTACAAAAGAAGAGGAAAAACTGCTGGAAACTCTTCAGATCAATAATGTAGCACCGAACATTTGTTTCTTAACCTTTCTTTTTCATGTATATCTCCCTGCATTATTACTAAGGGAAATAGCCTGCTAAACTGTGAATACTTTAGTCTATGGAGTTGTCATCCTGCTTTTCAATTTAAATGTCACATGCTTTTTAGTAATCAGTCGAACGCAAACATAAGTAACACGATAGGGGTTTGTTGAAACAAATAAATCAAAACATCAGAATTACTTGACATCTTTCTATAATGCATTGTACACAAGATTCCGCGTAATTTCCGCTACAGATAAGCAGATTTAGTCGTAACCAAACGGTCACAAACCGGTACGTATCTTCTTTACGTCTTTTTGAGGACGTAATTTTTTGTTATTTGAAGCCCCACCCTGGCTTTTGCCATAGGCCGCAATATAGGCAGGCCATAGATAGGCCAATTGTCTGAACGCGGTTTCTGGAACCTCTCCAAGGGATCCCCATCCACATGGTGGCACTTTGTGTCATCGGGTGTTTATCGCTTGTGAGATGTCCTGGTGGGGTAGATAGTCAGTCAGTCACAAATCGGTTTGCAAATAATTTATCGAGGGGAGGTTGTAAACACCTTGGCCGGTGCTACACCTCTTAATGTTCTAAATATATAAAAAGTTAGCGGATGTCCTAGAAACGCTAGTTTATAATACTTCTTCCTATAGTTCATGCTATGTAGTATTTTTGTGTAGTTTGACAAAGGCTGCCCGGCCGAAACGTAACGTTATTTGTGTTGTTTTGTGCACGTTTTTCTGCTTCTCCATTTTGTTGAGCTTTTTAGTCAAATTTTTCTGGAATTCTATGTAGCATAGGTAGTCACGTCTACTCACAACCCTCTGTTTCATGTACTTTCAATCAATTATGACACAGATGATTTTCCATGCAATAATTTTTAACTGTCCGAAATCTTCTCCCTCAGCCTCCCTCTACCTCTTCATTAACTTACCCACTGTCACGATGCACTCTAATTTTCTTCTTATGACATGACCGAAGAGTGTAAATTGTCTCCTTCTGATGTGGTCAATCAGTTCATCATCATGAATCAGTTTCTTTCAAGACATCTGCATTACTCTTTTTATCTGTCTGAGGTACTCCCATCATCATCATGTAGCAGGTCCTTTGCAGAACGTCGCTCTCATCACGGTTGTTGTTAATGTTATTTGTGGACCACGCTGATTTTATGTTAAGCGAAATAAACAGCTGTTGAATGTGGTGATTATAGTTCCAGTTGTTTTTGGTTCAGATTAGGACTTGTGGTTAGTGTGCTTAGTTTATTTGTTGCTTGGCTGTTCTAGACTGTTCACAAAAGATTTCTTATCTGGGTTAGAATATTTATGTTCCTAGTCCCCGCCTAACGAACGCTTTTTCTTGGTACTTAGGGGCTTTGCGCTTCTAGTACACTTGAGTCATTGTAACACAGAGAAGGGATGGAGGATCAGGCAGTAAGATTAGCTCTGTCTGACTGTCTGTCTGTCTGCCTGCCTGCGTGCGAGAGAGAGAGAGAGAGAGAGAGAGAGAGAGAGAGAGAGAGAGAGAGAGAGAGAGAGAGAGAGAGAGAGAGAGAGAGAGAGAGAGATTGTTAATGTATCTGATAAAAGCGAGAAAACTGATAATGCTGTTTTTTAATGTTTTAGTTTTAGAACCCATGTTTCATGTGATTACGAGTTATGATTTGGGTTATCTTCACGGAACTCCGGACACGTCCATAGGTGCTCAGATTCCCCCTTCAACATTTTCATCAGCGTCCCGCGGTTGATGGTCCAAGTCCTGTGTTGGTTGATAAGACTTCTCCTGTGTCCAGTGTGCTTCTCGTGCCTGGCTGTGTAGACCTTACTCCCAATTCTTGCACTGTTGGCAAAGATGTGGATGTGCTGCTCCCAAAATCCTCCGAACGTCCTTCCTCTCTAATGGCGTTAACAATGTGGACATGATTCATGTAACTAAAGCAGAGCCGACAGATTAGCCAGCTCTTTCATTGCCAACAACACCCGCATGCCCTGGGACACAGATAAGGGTAGCCCTAGGCACAGTGGAGTTTTGCAATGACTCGATCTGTGTCTGCGTACAAAGCCCGCCGGATGATACTCATAGAATCACTCAGCACACGCACGTGAGAAAATCCCTGCAATGCTAGCCACACGAAAGCTCGTGTTACTGCCATCACCTCCATTGTCATGCTGCTAGTAGTCACACAAAAGGCACCACTGGCCTCCTGGACAGCTCTGCCTGCAGAGCACGCAGTAAATGCCCATGCACTTATTTGTCCTTGTACAACGGACTCATCTGTGTAGATCAATACATCCGCATCCGCCTAATCTGAATTTTCACATATAAGCACATAGACTATGCATTAACAGCAACCGGATTCTGCTACTGACAGATCCTATTAAGCGTGATAACATACGAAAAGGTGCAGTGGGCACAGGTATCCATTCTTCGCCGAGGGTCATGTATGTAAGACTGCAGACCTGTATGATATCGTGTGCCTAGACCCGCCGGATCATGCTCAACGAATGACTCAGCGTGTATGTGCTGAGTGATTCCTTGAGCATGATCCGGCGGGTCAAGGTAGGCTGGTTACGCAGGCAGTAGTTTGAGTCATTGCAAAACTCTTCTGTGGGTGGTTATCTTCATATTCGTCCCAGGGCATGCAGGCGTTGTTGGTAATGAAAGAGCTGATAGACTGGCAGGTGCTGCATACATTGAAGATGGCCGGCCCATGGATCACACAGACATTGTCATTGCCCTTAGAGAGATAGGTCGTTCTGAGGATTTTGGAAGCAACGTGTCCACATCACTGCTAAGAATACGAGAATTGGGAATAAAGATCAGCACAGCCAATCATGAGAAGCACACCGGACGCACACAAAGTCTTTTTAACCAACAAAGGACTGGCACTATTAACCGCGCCACGCTGATGAATGTTGAGAGGGGAATCTGAACGCCTATGGATGTGTCCGGAGTGCTGTGAAGATAATCTCATAATCTAACTCATAACGATATTGTCCTCTGCCCTACTGGGCCATGATTTTCCCCTTTTTAGCCTGTTGCCCTTTTTCCTAAAGAGAACATTGTGCAGAGGGTGTTTCAAATTCGAGCTTATCTTCAGGTATGCACGAGTCCTTTAGTGCATTGTCAGAAAGTCAAGAGGATATCTCATTGCTACGCAAGAGATGTATCTTGTGCAACCCATAATAATGCGCATGGCTTCATTTTGCACCTTTTCCAGTCTTTCAATCTGCGCATCGCTGACGGTGAGCATGGCCAAAGCATGTTCGATTGGAGAAAGAACCAGTCCCTGGAACAGTAGCAGAACATCGATGTTGGCTGTAGCCAGGTCCCTCATTGCTGATCAGCCCATCTTCATAATTCTGAGCCCTCGAGGCTCACTGCTGCAATTATCACCTGCCTCGATCCATTTCTCTGGTTGGGCTTCTCTTTCCATTTGGTGACACAGAGTATTTGTAAGGTATGTCTGTCGAAGAACCAACAGTTTGCACACAACTAGGCCAGATCTGTTAAATTGATGTGCATCAAAACTCTTCTCAGAACAAGACCAAAATCCATACATGGATGAACAATCAAGACTTTCTGCCAGAGTTTACAACCAGTGAATGTGAAGAAGAAGAATGCACATATGCAGAAGAAGAATGCACATATGCAGTGATTGTTTGGAATCACAGAAGATTGCTAAATCACAGATTGTAAGATTGTTGAATCACAGATTGTGAGAGACAGAAAAAGATTAATACAGCGATAACATGGTTTTAGCTAACAGAAGATGCAAAAGTTGACAGCTTTGCATGAGTTAGTTGTCAACTTATTGAGATTTCACTGCAAGGTCAAGAAAACTGATAATATATGTCAAAACAAAATAACAATGAAACAAATGTATCTAAAGACATAACTAAAAATAAAAAATGAAAGCCAGTTCAAGCAATTTAATTTTTGTGTGGATCAGCAGTCCATGACAACTTCACTCTCATAGTTTCTACATTCGAAATGCCAAAAAAAAATAAAACCCACCATACACAGGAAACCAAACTGGCAACTTTCTATAAGGTTTTGTTTGTGCTATGGCTTAACCACAATATTGATAAAGTATAGTCAATTTCAACACACAAATAAGAAAAACAAATTTAATAACTGAGAGAGGATTATGGCTCCTAGTAAAGTAAAGTACCCTTTTCTGTACTTATCATTAGTCATCTCATCTCGCTCACACGCAAGATTTTGTGCTGGTTCCAATTCATGTCATGCTAGTTCCCACGGGCTGTCCTAAGTTGTGGGGGCGCTATGGAATGGCAAGCTTCACTGTGTTTACACACCATTTTGAAAAGCAGCTACCACAGGTTTGTTTTTGCAACTGTTTTTTGTGAATAGTAGGTCAGGGGGAAGCCTCAAAGCCTCCACTTTTTGGGAGCATCAAATCACTGATGTTTTTGTGTTTTATTACACTCACTGGCGGTATCTGTCATCGCTGGTGGATCGGCTTGAAATGGTTAAAATAAGTTACACATGACACCCCTGGACTATAGGAGTGTCACCCTAAATACCCTACGAAATCTCGTAGCCGCGAGATGGGGTGACGTTTGTGATTTGTACCCCCTTCTAATACCACTGTGAATTGGGCATTTGTGCTGGACATATTTTTATTGTTATAGATCAATCGGCATTTGACAAATGACATGGTCAACATCAGGTCAGCCACCTTTACTAGAACCCATTACAGGCTGGGTCAAGGGGTCAACATGGAAGCTAGAGTAAATTACAACAGCTCCAAGACTGACAACAAATAATGCACATAAGATCATGCATTCTGGCAACACTGACACTGCACTTAAATGGTGGGCGGCTGATAAAGTTCAGAGTGGCGTGTATTTCTGCGTGTGGGATGCCAGCTTTTGTGACTGACCAACTGCACAAACAGTATGGGACCATTAGTGTGCTGGCACAGCTGTTTTATTCATTTTTAAATTGCGTGTGTAAGTTTCAAAATTTTGCTGGGACTGACTAAGTTTTGTCAATGGGACAGTAAAAGACAATTCAGTGCTTTATTAATATCCTACCCCAAATGACATCACAGGACAGTTTAGAGGGTGGTAAGACGGGGTTTCCCGGCTTTCTGATGCTTTTAACGACCCCAAAACATCTAGAACTGGCCCTAACCCCAACCCGACTACGTCACAAGAGAGAGTGCAGTCTAGGTCCCACGACTGCATGCAGCTTATCTACCACCCCCTAAAATATTAGACTGTCCCGTGACCTGTGGATTTTCCCTGTTTGGGGTAGGATATTGATAAAGCACCGATAATTCTGTATGAATTTCATGGGCACAGGAACAGAGCAGTTATGGGTTGGACAGTCTGCAGTGATGATGAAACCTAGACTAATGTCTCACACTAGCAATTTCATAGTTAAAATAAATTACCAACACACTTGGTATGGTCAAAGTTACCACTGGTTCAATGACAGAGATCTCACACAAAAAAAACAGCTTTATTCTTAATATATATATTTTAAAAAAAGGTAGCCGAAAGCCTAACTGCTGAAAATCACAGGTCTCCCAATGATGGTTCGCTTTCTTTTTCTTTCTCCCATTTCAGCTGGTAAACTTCAAGATCTACCATCCAATTCAAGAACGACCATGATGAACATTCTGCATGGCATAAAGTGACAAAGAAATGGATCAGCTATAGGGTGACCCATATAGGTCTGTAGTTACCTAATTACCTGATGGGGTTCACAATCCCCTCAGAATTTGTTTAAATTTTTACTGCCCTTAGGCTTTGAACAGGGGTCTCTTGAATTAATAGCCAGAATCCTAAACCAATCTGCCCGATTCTCCTCTGTGGGGTAGTCATTTATTCAAAATATTCTCATTCTCACCTGAATAATCCAACATCACAAATTCTACTTCATCCATCATTTTCCACATTCACTGATTACATTGAAAAGTAGTTAGTTTATGAACTGCATGTTATGGAAATGTAATTTATGACCTATCTGCTGTTACATAAGAGTAACATTTATCAAATGTATACTTGTACACATTAAAAGGGAAAAGACGAAGGACTGTCAACAAGTTATCAACTTTAGTATGAAGACGTCAAGGTAATTAATTACATTCAAATTTGTGTGCACCTTAGTTTTTCTGTTATATTTACACCTGAAGACAATTCTTCTTCACCTGGTGTTCTGATCGTACAATTCCTTCACATCTCCAGTTCAGTAAACAAGCTGCCCATGTGGGATCCGGGGCCCATTTGTGTCAAATCTGTAAAACGGATGTGCACGAAACACTCAATTTCTGAGTGGACTAACAACCAGAACTTTCCGCTGAAATTAACAGCTGGTGAACGAGAAGAAGAAGAAGAGAAACCAAGGTAACCAAGCCTAGGTCATCTCAAAAATGATTCCCATAAAGTGGATATTTTTGTTTCGAAACAGACCTTGACACCATCATAACAAACTGCAAAAATTTTAGAGGTCACACATAAGCTCTTTATGTCCGTTCCATTATAAAGAATGTAAAAATTTACACGGACAGCAAACACATTTTCCAACTGCAAAAAATTTATTGCATTCTTCACAATAAAAGGGCCCACATCTAGAGAACCAGTTGTAGAAGCATCCTATGAAAGGCACAGACTAAACTGATTGTATTCGGCAGCTGTTAAACACAAAAAGAAGATCGTAGAAACATAAAGGCTGCATCTTGACAAACACAGACAGCAAAAGTCAAGAAAATAGAGGACAATAATCAGAACCTCATGTTAGCAAATTAAACTTTAGTTTAAATGGGGTCATATTTTGTTTCCTTTTAGGAATGCATATAAAACCATGTGAACCAATCATACCTTCTTCTCACTCTTTGTTACTATCTTAAATAATCATTATTGCTGGCACAGCTGAGTAAAGTACAGTTGTATCCAGCCACTTCTTTTTCTTCTTCCATTCTTTCTAACTTTCTCCTATAGTGCTTCGGGTGTTGAGAGAGATATAAGGTTCTGCACTTTTGCTCTTCTGGCCGCCTCGACCATAGACCCATCGTGCTGTTATAGAGTTTCTCTCATGTTATCTTTCCATATTGCTCTTGGTCTACCTTGTGCACTAAATCATCCTCCTTGTAAGTTATGGCGTTTGATTTGCCGTCTTTGAATGTAATGCAGAAGTAGTTCTGTGCAGACTTTTTCTATTATGATTTCATTCCTGATTTTATCTCATCTAGTCACTCCTGCATCCCATCTCAGATATCATATTTCCATAGTTACTCATTTTCTTATCCGGTTTGCTGTAAATGACCATGTCTGGCACTGGTAGTAAAGAGTGAGAATGAACAGGCTTTGTATGAGATGTTTCTGTGTGCTGATGAGGATTGTCTTATGCTGTAAGATGGGTGCTAGCTGTCCAAGTAGTTGGTTTATTATGCTGCATCCAATGTTAATCTTGTATCCAACCCCTACAGTTCAAAATGTCACCTCTAAAAGATAATTTGACCTTACAGGAGATAACGACCCGAGTCTTACAATGTGAAGTCTGAAATATTAACTATCTGGTTATCTTCTTTTCAGTGAGATAATAAAAACAGCTTAATTTCATGTTTCTCTGATTAACTCTGTGAGTCCCAAGAAACACATAATACGTTCATAGATTCCTACCTAGAAGCCCAATGAATGCAAGATGCGCTGATTTTACGTCTTTCTTGACTACCCCGTGAGCCTGTGATGCTCAACCCCCTGGGACTCAAAGAGTTAAGCAATTCAACAGATCAGCATTCAAGTTTTCAAATCTAACAGTGACCCAAGAACATAAATCGAGGAAATGATAAAGAGGCCCATGGCTGCTGCCACAGCAGTCTAAGACTGAGGTAAAGAACACATTTCACAAGCAACTTGAGTTGGCCGGTTGATAAATGTACAGTGAGCACAGGTCCACATGGCTCCCCCGGGCTGACCAGAGTCTTCATCTGTATGTGCAGCAGACGGCAAGGAGGGTGATTCTGAAAATGTTATGGAGTAAATAACATTACTGCTCTGAAAGGTTTAAAGGTGACAAGATCAATTTCAACGTAACAGATTTTTATTCAACACGGTTTCGCCTCTCTCCGCAAAATGGCCAGCTGTCTGCCGAAACCTTCACACTAATAGGAACCTTCTAGCTTCAGCGATTACCCCCAAGATCTAGAGGGGAAAAAAACTGCGCATGTGAACCTAACAGCACAGTCTGAAAAATGAACCCACACATGTATAGTGTGAAACAAATGGCTGAACTCCTTCCTCCATACAGACCGAGAATGGCACTGCGAGGAGTTACCAGGGGATCTGGCCGACGCTCAACACTCAGGGAAAGTATGAGACGGAAAACAATCAGGCAGTTACTGGTACCATCGGAATTAGAACTCTTCGCTTGCTGCTGAAGACAGGGACTGAGCATTTATGGGAGTGTCCTGAGTGCTGTGATGTCGAGTCTTAATTCAACATTCAACTCCATACAGATCCTTGTTAGTGCACTGATACTTCTTATTGTGTTTACCCTTACAATGGTGGTTGGGACACTGCGATTTACTAGGATGTGATATCCGATTTTTTGGGTCCAACAAATCCATTTTCAGCAAACCCTTAATTCTTCTTCTTCTTTACATCCTTTTTCCCACTTCAAGTGATGAGGGAGATATAAGGTCCTGCTTCGTCCTCTTCTGGCTGCTTTAACCACAGACACATCATGGTGCTGTAGAGTTTCTCTGATGTTATCATCCCATCTTGTTCTTGATCTACCTCTTGCTCTACGTCCTTCACCTCTTTCAATATATGCCTTGTATGGTATGGCATCAGAAGGCATTCTCTCCAAGTGGGCAAACCATTTGATTTGCTTTGTATGCAATGTAGAACTGGTTGTGTGCCGACTTTTTATCGTATGACCCCTCATTAGTCGCCTTTTACGACATGCTTGTGAGGGAACGCCAGTATCTGGCTTGCTTGGATACTGCGAATGCTTTTTGTAATTCTGAGGCACTGGTTCAAATCCAGGATTGCTGTGCGTCGATTTTGACAATGGTACTGACAGCCTACCATTCAAAAAGCAATGACAAACTACAGAAAGTACAACTGCCTAATAAAACTAAACAGCCAAAAAATACTGGGTGGTTCTGCAACATCCTGTAACAGATACACAACTAAATTTGGGGTCTCTCCACCCACTGTTAATTCTATTTGCTGAACCATGACCTTGTTATATCCTTGTGTACCTTGTTGCACATGGGAACTACCAGGATCAGTCTTGTGCACCTAGCAGATTTCTCAGCCTGCAGAGGGGAAGGAGTCTCTGCAACATGGACTCCATATAAATGGTGCTGCAGATTACTTTAATAGGTCCAAGTTCTTTTCAGCATTCAAGAAACAATTAAAACTGACCTAGGTTTCCCAAAACAACCCACCCTGAAGCTGCCACTGGGAAACAGATGTTCTTGTACGCAAAGATAAGTTTATTATAGAAAGATAATAAGATTCCTTTTTTTTTAAATGTCAGTGGTGTATCAGGGATGTGATGCTATTGATATTTGTACAAACCAAACAGCTCTTGCTGAGTGATGTGTTCAACATCATGTTAGCCGCGTTTACTTGCCAGCAAGAGAAGAAAGCTCTCACAATATTAACCAAATCTCTTGTTGAGTGCCAAGTGGTCTAAACAAATATATGGTTAGCACCACATACATATATATCAGCAACCGAATTGCCCATTGGCTGGCCAGTAGACGACTTCGTTATCAGTCAAGACAATATTTGGGTCTGTCTCTGTTTATACTGCAAGAGTTTTTTCAGGGTACTTGGAGGCGAGCAATGTTAAACCCTTTGATGTAATGCAAATAACCCAAGTCACAATTATTACCTAAAGCTCCCCCTCTGGGAATGCTGGTCGAACGTGACTATTATGTATTTTCTTTCCATCAAAAACCGATGGACGGACGGACTATATACCTATAACATATAAGGAAATGAGAGAGGGACCCTTGGCAGCTGCCACAGCAGACGAAGAGTGAGGTAAAGAATAAATTTAACAGCTGCAAGAATGGTACAAAATTCAACAATAGAAAACAAATCACAAAATTAACTCAAATAAAAGAGGAATAACAAACAAGGAGTAACAAACTGAACTGCTATAAAAAAAAAAGAGTATAACAAATTTAACAGCTACAAAAGAAGAGGAATAACACAAATTCAGCAAATCCAATAAAAGATTAATAACAAACTGAATAACTACAAAGAAGAGTAACAAACTGGACAACTATAATAAAAGAGAAATAACAAATTGAATAACTAAATAGAAGAGCAGAAACAAATTGAACAACTCCAATAAAAGAGGAATAACAAAGCGAACAATCACAATAAAAGAATAGTAAACAACTGGGCAACTACAATAACAGAGTAGTAACATATTGAAACAACTAAATTAAAATAGGAGTAACAAACTGAATACTATAAAGAGTAAACCATTTACCATGTGCAGACATCATTTCCTCAACTGTAGCCCACTCTTCAGTCTTTTTGAACTCCATTGCCTTCTGCTCATCATGGTTCTTCACAGCTTCAAAGAGAAGGTCCATTTTGTCCTGTTTGAGCACAAATAGAAATATCACAAATAACAAAAGAGAATCTTGATTACCGCAAATCATTTGGGAACATTCCAGAAATTATGCAGCCAGCAAAGAAACTGGAGCAAATGCAAAGGTATTTGTTAAAAGTAAATCACTGATGACACTATGTCAGTCTAACAATTCATGAACTATATACACCTTCTTCTCGACTTATGTCCTATGCGATTTATGACCATCCACACTTAGGACGACAGAAAAAAAAAAAAAAAAAAGGTTACAAGTCGAGCAATAATTACAGTAGGTCAGTGATTCCTAAACTGTGCGCCGTGGCAACCCAGGGAGCCACGGCCTCTTCACAGGGGCGCCATGAAATATTAAAAAAGATTCATAATTAATTTAACCAAGGCACAAATAGTCATACTTTTACTTAGGCCTCTTCACAGGGGCGCCATGAAATATTGAAAAAGATTCATAATTAATTTAACCAAGGCACAAATAGTCATACTTTTACTTAGGTTAGGGCGCTGCGGACAAATTTTAATTGAAAAAAAAAAAACTCTTGGCACAAACGATCTGTCACGCACACACACACACAAAAACAATGGTAATAACACAAACGACTGTTTTCTGATTCCTTCAAACATAAACTGTGAAACTGCTTCTCATTTTTGTCTTGTGGTGAACTGCAGCTAAGTATTATAATGCTGGCCCATCCAGCAACACTAATTACAGTTGTCGACGTCAGTCTTAGTTTACAGCGAGAAACAAGTCAATGTGTTCGGCTCATAACCACTGTTCAACAATGCATTAAATGTCATTTAGTATAAAATGAGTAAATATATGAATCATTGAAAATAAAAAAATCAACACTACAAAGATTATAAAAGGATTACCTTGAGAGGAAGCATTTCTGATGTGGCAAGAAACATCAGCAAGTGAAAATCAGACATGGCCTCTAGAAACTTCTGAGGTGGAAACTTCTCCAGATATTTTGTCAACGCAGCAAAGTCCTGTAAAAACAGAAATCACATATATAATTACAACCTGCTCAGGTCATTATTACTCTGTCATGCAGTGGTTTAGCACACAAGAAGTAGGAAAATAATTTAAATTATAGGGTACACAAGAGACAGAGATCTGTGGTAGTGTTGTGACTAAATGTTTGTTTGTCTACTGACCTGAAGTTGTAGGTTGGAATCTCACTCGATCTCCATGTAAGTTTGAAGGCCCCGTGGGGATTGGTGAGGGGAGGGGGTGGTGGGGGGGGGGGGGGGGGGGGGGGGGGGGGGGGGGGGGGGGGGGGGGGGGTAAAATATCCACTGCCCTCTAAGAGGCATGCTGTAAAAGGCAACTGAGTTAGCTGAAATTGGATGTGCAAATAATGCAAACCTTGCTGTAAATCATACAATAACAGGCCAATCTTCTTTCAAAGAAAGGTGAGCACATGAGGAAAAAAGTTCAGACTATTAAAAATGAATCAATAGTTAGTTAGTTTAGGTTTCAACTGGTCACCCCGTAACTGCTTCGTTCCTGTACTAGTGGAAATCCCACAAAATGTCATGCACTGTCCCATTTCTAAACTAGCGTAAAAACATATTACTCCCAGCAATCTCTAGAAGCTTGCACAAAAAAAGTATTGCATAAGGCAGCAGTCATTAGTTGTGTCTGACATCAAAACTGCAGCTTCTTACTGATGCAGGTTGGTCAATCACAAAAGCCAACACTGCATACTCAATACTGCAGAAGTACACATCATTCTCAGTGTAATCGGCTATCAACCATTTGTAATGCAGTTAACAACACAAAACCGCCGCAGGCACAACAGGAACCCCCCAAAAAAATGCTCACCTGTGTTTGTCCAACGTGTTCCCTGTTTTCAACTGGGAAGCTCTCCAGCTGAATGTTAGATTTGAAAGTGTAGTGGAAATCGGAGGCAAATGCTGCGGGAATTGTGACCAACAAATATTCTACAGGCAAGGGTCTTGCTATGTGGGTTACTTCATTGCCATAGTTGTCTTTGTCCTGTTTGTCAAACAGAAATGGTGTCAACATTCTGTCAAAAAAGCAATTTAACTTTACTTTTCCCTATGTGGGTTCTAGGTCCCCATTCATTTTTTAGGTCTCTCTCTTTCCTCGTAAGTTCTTGTACAGGGATATTTCAGTTACTGTGAGACTTTCTCAGTGCCTGTCCTATTCAGAGCCAGAGTTTTCCTCATCTCTTAATTCCTATACCTTTTTTTTAAAGTTCTCTCCCAGCTCTACACTAGTTATTCTTGTCATATAATTTAATTATTCCTGTTCACTGCAGACACCAGTTAAGTAAGAATCAACTAATTAGGAGCTTCCTTTGAAGTCGGAGTGCATCTGCCTGAGAGGCAAGGAACTAGCAGTCTGCATACAAATGAGTCAGATCTGTAAAATGGATGCACACGCAACACTCAGGTTCTGGAACAGGACTGCCGTTCAGAAGTGGACAAACAACCAGAACTTTCCCCTGGATTTTACAGCTGGTGAACGCAAAGAAGAAAGAAGAAGAAGAAGTTAAGGAAGACAATTGATTAGTCAAGGTTTTCCTAGTTCTCCATGCTTCTGCTCCATATAGCAGGATCGATATGTTGCCAGAGTTGAATATCCCAAGTCTGGTACCATATTTGATTTCTTTCAATCTTCACTAAGGAGGAGATGCTGACTGAGCGGTTATGAATGCTGAGCTCTCACTCAAGAGACCCAGGTTCGAAGCCTTGGTCAGATAATGGACTCTCCTGCCCAACAGCCCCCTAAAAAGCAGTACATTCAGACAGTAAAAACATTTAGCTTGCATTCTTAACCTCTACATACATAAGGTATTTCACCAGCTCACACGTAAATTGGCCACCGGCCATATTTAACAAAATGACACAACAGCTGCACAATTGAAAGGCATTCCATAGGAAAAACACAGCTCACAGGGCTGCAACCAAGTACCTAGCTCAAGCAGCTAAACTGCAAACTACCGTCCTTATGAGGAAACTGCATTAGCAAAGCGCTGTCGGAAGCAAAAACAACTTCCAAGCTCAACACTCTTTCAAGCCTTTCCTCCATTTTGGCAGGAAGTCTAAGGCCAAAAGTAAAAAAGTAAGCATACTTTGGATATTTTCTCCAGGCCATGCCGGCGTAGTGGGTAATGAACAGGCAGACAGACTGGCTGGATCTGCATCATTGGGTGGTGAACTGATACATGACAAGGCAGACGTGGTCTGGAAGGCTACCAGGCTACCAGAACGTGGTCAAGGCCCTTTAGGAACAAGCAACGGAATCATTACAGAAACAAGATTATTATGGCCTGGAGAGAATGAGGCACCTGGGTGTAACCAGAGGGTCTGCCCAGCTCACTACACTCAGGGGAAAGGCAAGACAGACATATAACCAGATTGTGACCGGTACCATCAGTATTGGAACTCTGCGCTGGCTGCAGAAGATGAGGACGGAGCATGCATGAGAATGCCCCGAGTGCTGTGATGTCAATTCTTGACTCAACTCAACTCCTTAACCTCTAGAAATGTCCTAGTTAAAGAGGTTAAAAAAATTATTTTTTTTTAAGCAATTAGCGGCACCACAAACAATTGTTGAGAGACCTGTCGCTCCAAAATGACATACCTTGTAAAATACATCTGGGACATACTGTTCATTGCTAGATTCCTTAATGTAACCCAGCTGAGGCACATCTTTTGTTGGGAGCAGGCAGTCATCTCTTACTAGAGCCATACACTGGTTGGAAACCTGGTAGCCTTCAAAGTGGATCTGGTTATCATTGTCACCTGAAATAACAAATTATTTTTTTTGGGGGGGGGGGGGGGGGGGGGGGGCCTTATGTAATTAGGATAAATGAAGCATTTGAGAAAACACTACTGAATATGAAGGAATTATATCTTTTTCTCCACAGCGCTCACCAACTGTAAACTCTAGCAGAAAGTTATGGTTGTTTATCCACTTCTTGACTTTGGTCATGTTCTAGAACTTGAGTTTTTGTGTGCACATCCATTTAACAGATGTGTCTTATCTATATGCACACTGTTGGTTCCTTGCCTCTCAGGCAGATGTGTTCAAACTTCAAAAGAAATAGCCCAATTAGCTGATTTTTATGTTTACAACATGCTTGTTAGGGGTGGGGGAAAATGAAGTATTTAATTTAAAAAAAAAGCTATTTAGGATAAAAGTAGCAATGACTAAATGCATGCCTGCTGGCATGAAAGTCTAGGGCCCAAAACTGTACCAAGATAACTGTTTCTCAAAAAATGACAATGGCTCCCAGGTCAACCCAGGCGAAAATGGGTACCATATAAGTCCTGGGCAGTAGAGGTGACCAGCAGGATGACATTTGGACAAGGACAGCAGATGGGAAAAAAAGGAGACATAGACGACCTAAGGAAACCTGGAGGACACTAGAAAGGGAAACGAAAGAGTTTAAACCTACATGGGATACTATGGGCAGAAAAGCATCAGGCCGGCGGCAATAAAGATCATTTGTGAATGCCTTATATAGCAAAGCAACATGGAAAGCATATCAAGAATAAAATGTCTGTATTTACGTGAACGGAATTTAGGATCACAGGGCTAGTGCTATAGACTGCAGTTCACCTTTTTGCCGGGGGTTGGGGGAGTGTCCTGTATGAGAGCTGGCCGTGACCTCTCAGCCAGCGGCATGACTAAAGAGGCTTGGCAAAAAACTGGCTACCACATTTCATTTAAAAAATCCAGCTGGAAAAGTTATTCACTCATGAACAACTCTATGTAATCATAGGAAATCCCAGTATGACGAGGTCAGAAGGCCAGGTAAACAAGGAAAGCAGGGAAAATGTGTGTTTAGATTTTCCCTTGGTTTGTGTGATCGACTGCAATAAAAACCTGGGGGACGTTAACAAAGGTTTGAAGGTAAGAGAGAAGATAGTCAGTCAGTTGGTGTTTGACCGTGCGAGAGGCAGGTTGCTTGAGTGGAGTGACTGAGGTGAACTTCGATTGTTAACTGAGGGGGGTGAGGACCTGGAATGCAAGGGAATGACTGAATAGAATTGACTCTGAATTTGTGAACATTTATGGTACTGTGATCTAGAAGGAAGATCCCCACCTGAATGGAACATTCAAACTGAAAGGTAACTGAATCTAATGTCTTGTAGTCCTGTCACGGCAGTCAGTCATAAGCGAGTCATTTAACAACCAGTGAGAACCTAGGACAACGACAGAATGACTCATTTGATATTGCAGCAAACAGTACCAACATCACCGTCGTGATTCGACTATACCCCTGTGTGTCCACACTTTACATCATAATGGAGGAAAGTATTGTCAAGATAAGTCCAGAAGGATGCAAAAAGTGACAATATCAGTCTACAAAGAGCCTGGGGTGAGCTAACTGAAGATTTATGTTCCCCTGGGCGACAAAATGCATAAAGATGAAGAGCTATATTTCTAAATGTAGAAGACATTTGTTATTTTTTAAATGTACCCTCTATGGATTCTTTCTTTTTAGAAGATTTAACTCCCGGCATCTTAAAGAGACAGCGGGAATTACAAATAAACTTGAAAACTTTTCAAAATAAATGATTAAGGAGAATTCTACAAATATTTTGGCCAAACAAGATCACAAATGAAGAACTGAGGAGGAAAACAGAATGTACATCACTGGCAAATGTTATCAAAGTAAGACGATGGAGATGGCTTGGACAGGTTTGCAGAATGCCTTGTGACACTGGCAAAAACAGCTCTCCGGTGGACAGCAGATGGGAAAAGGAGACATGGACGACCTAAAGAAACCTGGAGAAGAACAATAGAACGGGAAATGAAGGAATGTAAACTGGCATGGAATACCGTGGGCAAAAAAGCAGCACAACCAGCAGCAATGGAGATCACTTGTGAATGCCTTATGTGTCAACAGCGACATGAAGAGGATATAGATCTTAAAGAGGCATTATTTGGCTGAGAATCCACCAGGAGCTAATCCCAGAAACATTGTTTGATCATGTAACAGTTTTATTAATAAGGCAAAAATAACGGCTACAAAATAAAAACATACCAGTGACAACAACGGTAACAAATTTGGATCCAAAATGTCCATCTGGAGACAGCCTGCAAGGATTTGGAAAGCGGTTCTGGAAGTCTGCCGCCATAATGCACTCTTCTGCACTCAGAAAATGAGAATCCTGCAACAATAAATAATTGTCAGATTGAACTGAAATTGTTTAAAAGTAAAACAGTCGTCGCTGTGGCTACTTCTTCTTCTTTAAGTAGTCTGATTTTAAAGATGATAAAACAACCAGAAAACAACATGTTTTCAGAAGAAAATATCACAATCCTTGACAACAGTTCAGACTGAGCCGAGCACCGCCGTCACTCTATATAGTTATATCCTCCAATACTTCAAGTGTTATTTTGTAAATCCTCTCTCCTAACATTGTTTGAAAGCAATCAGATTGGCTTTTTTTTTAAAAACCACCCATAATGTAAACTGAACACTCTTATGTCAAGGACTGTGAAGTATTAACAATTAAAAAAAAATTACCTTTTCCTTACTTTTAGGTGCAATGGGTATATAGTGTAAGACCTACAAGGTCTGACAATTTAGTAATGAGACTGATTTTATTATGGCCAAGACAAAAATTCCATCTGTGAAGCACAGCATGGAGTCTAAAGAGGCAAAATTCATCTATGATCTGGCAACTTTTCATCGCTGCTCAATAAGCAGACAACAAACAAAGTTATTTTGTTGACCCAGTCAGAAGTGCATTGTTACGTAATCAGCACGGAGCAAAAAGCTAACATTAAATTCTTTTTAAAACTCAGGAAAAGGAGCCATTGAAACAGTTAAATTGATGCAGTAAGTTTATGGAGATAATTGTTTAGCTTGTGCACAAATTTTAGGTGGTATTCAGGATTTGAAAGAGGTGTGGAAATGATAACTAATGCAACTTGACCTGGACGCCAAATTTATGTTTGTAAGATGAACTCATTGCTAAAGTCAAAGAACGGATACAAGAAGATCATTGTTTTACTGTGAGGATGATGGCAGATGAATCTGGTGTTAAGACAGACCATTCATAAATTCTAGTGCAAGATTTTGGCAAGAAGAAAGATGCTTGTCGGTTTGTACCACATTCGTTGCTGATGACCAAAAACATCAGCGAGTTGAGTACCCAAGAGACATTATCAAAACAAAAATGTGTGGCCCAAAAACAATTGTGTGTTCTCAGCCTTTCACCCTATTTCCCAGATTTGTCTCCCTGTGATTATTTTCTATTCCCAAAATTAAAGTTATGATTGAAAGGACACTTCTTTAACGACATTGATGACATCCAAAGGGCCGTAACATCGACTCTAAGGATCATAACAACAGAAGTTGTTCCAGTATTTGTTAGATCGTGCCATTTGCTGTATCAATGCAGAAGGGGCTTAGTTTGAATAAAATACAGGTTATATCTTTAACTATTGACTATTTAAATTTTTATGGAATCAGTCTCATTACTTAATTGTCGGACCTTGTATATTTTTATAGATAACTGACAGGTGATATGGTCAGTATCACGCCTGTTGCCTCTACTTTCCAGACTTTACCAGGTACTTATTTTAAGCTGGGTGGACCTGGGAACGAGGGCCTTGATCCGGATCTGAACCCATGACTTTTGGGTCTGCAGGCGAGCGTTCAGCTGATAAACCACTGCAGCTCCCCTAAGTATTATCAATTATAAATTAACAATTATTTGTCATAGGCCATTTGCCATGAAGGTTTCAGTATATGCATGAATCAAGCTAACCACCTATATACTACTTACAATATTGCCCCTGAAGTTTTTCACTGTTCCCTTAGAGAGATCGTCAGCAACAAGGTCTGTGAAAATCCAGCCAACTGGCCGAAGCCCCATTTTCTCCGCAGCAGCCGTTACAACTGCTTCCTTCGGATCTGGCTTCAGCTCAATTTTGTTGACAGTTGTTTGCTGCAAATGAACATATTTAACAAGGAAAACATTCAGGAATAAACCTAACATTTTGTGAGCAATGAAACTTTTATTATCATTTACTCAGGGGAGGCTTTTAACAGTCTTCTTCTCTTTCTTTTTTTACTTCGGGTGACGAGGGACATATATTGTTCTGTTTCTTGCTCTTCTGGCTGCCTCGATCAACGACATGTACTGTTGTAGAGTTTCTCAGACTGATGTTGTCTTTCCATCTTGGTCTACCTTATGCTTCACATCAGCGGTTATCAACTTACTGGTCGCGACCCTTTTTTGTGTCGAACGACCCGTGCACAAGAGTTGCCTGAGACCTTCCAAAAACACATAATCTTTGAAGTTCTGAAGTAGCAAGGATATTAATTGTATGGTTTTGGGTCCCCACAACATAAGGAACACTATTAAAGAGTCGCGCACAACACGAGGAATGTAATAAAGGGTCGTGACATCAAAAATGTTGAGAACCACTGCTCTACATCCTTCTCCTCTGTTGGTGCGCCTTGTATTGTATGGCATCACAAGGCATTCTCTGTAAGTAGGCAAACCATTGTATTTGTAGTCTTTTTATGTAATTTAGTATTGAGCATGACTTCTCTTATGACTTAATTCCTGATTTATCTCTTCTGGTCACTCCTGCAGCCTTGCTGTTAACAGTAACATAATCATTTTGAAATGTTTATATGTTAAAAGTAATCACGTGCAGATCAAACGTATTTTATTTCAAATACAGTATAATCTGGTTAACATGAATTCCAAGTGATGAAAAACAAGAGTTTGTGTTAAATAAATTCTGGTTAACCGGGAACTAATAGAGGCATCACAAATAATACATACCAGCTGGAACCAACATTTTGTTAAGGTTAATGGCATGTTTATCCTAAGCCAGTTCATGTTAACGAGGTTTTACTGTAATACAGAGGTTAAAGATCAAGTTTCTTTGCCTTGAGGTATATATTTTCATTGAATGATGTGGTTGATATAGCGTTTGTCACCTTTAGTTCTTATGCCATTTCCTTGAACTTATTTTAGGACAGACTGAATTGGAAACTTAAACTTTTAAAATCTACTTCAATAGGGATTCAAACCTATGACTAATGTACCAGCAGTAAAGCATACTAGTTGCTGTGCTGCAGCACTTCCATGTGTAGGTTATTTGCAGTAAATACAGACATAAATTGTGTGCTAAGAAGTGCCAAATAAAAGGTGCAAGTAAACAATGCAACTTCCAGGTGAGTCAATGAACTGATAATCTCTCTGATATGTGTGGATAAAGAGAACAGTTTAAAACTATCCTACCACTTTTTAATTTAAAAAAAAACAACAACAACTGCCAAGGTACTACATGAATCTGGTGTTGCGTTAGGTTTTCCCCCTTCCTTAAAACTCAAATGCAGGATACATGCCACTGTGTAAACATCATACAGTTTACAGGTCAGCTAATGAACCTGATAATCTCTCTGATTTTTAAGGATAAAGTGGACAGTTAAAAATGATCCCACTACTGTTAAGGTACTAAATGAACTCAGTGTTGCCTAGGATTTTCTCCAAAGCTCAAATGCAGGAGATAAGCCACTGTGCAAACATGTTGATTATAGACCATTTAATCTAATTCACTTCCAACAGAGAAAGTGATGGTGGAATACCTTAGGATATAGTTTTAAACATTTCACATAGAGACAAGAAAGATAACCTGGATGCCCCAAACTCTATAGCCATAATACAGTATATTTTATCTGATTTGCTCTTTATACCCTGACTGAAGTTTGTAAACACATTTGTCTTTATCCATTACTACAAGAACAAATACATCCTTACAAACAAACAAAAGTGAATAAGCACAAACTTACCTGAGGTGGCTCATAGATGGCAGCAACTCTTGCTCGAATGCCCAGGGGTACGTCTTTAAAGACTTCGTAGCGACCAAACAAAATGCCAAGACGCTGACAACCTGAATATCTCCAGTAGTTCAAAAATCTGTCAGCTACAGCTGGGTTCTCAAACATAATGTTGTCCACATGTCTGTACTCCTAAATTTATACCAACAAATCGATAAATCTTATTTTAGACTATTAATAATCAATACAACACGATTAGAATCAAAACAAAGAGAGAAAAGCAATCACAAACAAATATGTCTATATGCTGACAACTAGAATATCTCCAGTAGTTCCAAAATCCGTCAGCTACGGATGGGTTCTCAAACATAATGCTGTCCACTTGTCTGTACTCCTAGGTTTATACAAACAAATCAATAAATGTTATTTTAGACTATACATAATCGATACAATATGATTAGAATCAAAACAAAGAAAGAAAAACATACACAAATATGTATATATGTTTACAACTAGAATATCTCTAGTAGTTCAAAAATCTGTGAGCTACGGATGGGTTCTCAAACATAATGCTGTCCACATGTCTGTACTCTTAGATTTATACCAACAAACTGACAAATATTTTAGACTAAAATTTAATATAACAAGATTAGAATCGAAACAAAGAGAGAAAAGCACACAGAAACAAACACAATATCTATATGATGACAACCTAAATATCTCCAGTAGTTATAATATCTGTCAACTAAGGCTGAATTCTCAAATACAATGTTGCCAAATGTCTCCATTACTACACAATCAATAACGTTTTGCTATTTTAACAATATGAATGTCATAAAAATAAGAAATGACAAAACAAAACACACAAAAACCGCTAGTCTCAACAGTTACTGGGCAAAAAAGATAGCAGTTCTCTTATTTCTTCACCTTTCTTAAATTCACCCGATTTAATGTTCAACAATTTTCTTAGGCAGTGAGGTGAAACATTGACTGAGATTAATTAGGCATTTATTTGTGAATGCATTTAACTTTTCATTCTAAGTTTTTAGTGGTTCTCCAACTTTACTAGCATATGATAAAACTGAAGTAGCATAAGAATTTAAATTTTTTTAACTTGTTATTAAAAATATTTTCAAGTACGACACAAATAATGTATGCATCTTTTTTTTAAAAATCTTATAAGCAGTGAATTATTCTGCTATTTACCTGTCTATTAAGAGTAACAGCATTTGGCTGGCATTTCGTACAAATTCCGCCAGGCCATGGAGGATGTTCCTTGCAACCAGACTTGATTTTACAGCTGAGATTCTCAAGATTTACAAACTTGCCCCTGAAAGAAATGACCACATAAAAACTTAGTAATTTTTTCAAGCAACAAACTGCACAGTAAGATCAGGCAGAAGATTCACAAAGGGGAGTTAGACAAGGGTGCATTTTGTCATTTAAAACTATATCCTAGGCTATACAAGAGAAAGGAATAATCTTTATATTCTACGGCTATACTAACAGATAGGTTGTAGGGATGTCACAAACAATGGTTTTGTTCATATTTCCACTGTTCTACACTAAGTTAGTCAAGTATTATGTGACAATGTCGTGATACGTTCAGTAATTCTGTTGTAATCTTCCCTATATGTAATTCTGCATGTTCAGTAATTATTTTGTAATTTTTCCCATGTGTAGTTGTACACATTCAGTAATTCCGTTCTGATCTCTACCTGTGTAATGGTACATGTTCAGTAATTCTGTTATAATCTCCCCCATGTGTAATGTCACATGTTCAGTAATTCTGTTATAATCTCCCCCATATGTAATGTCATATGTTCAGTAATTCTGTTATAATCTTCCCCATGTGTAATGTTATATGTTCAGTAATTCTGGTGTAATCTCCCCCATGTGTAATGTTACATGTTCAGCAATTCTGGTGTAATCTCCCTCATGTGTAATTTTACATGTTCAGTAATTCTGGTGTAATCTCCCTCATGTGTAATGTTATATGTTCAGTAATTCTGGTGTAATCTCCCCCATGTGTAATTTTACATGTTCAGTAATTCTGGTGTAATCTCCCTCATGTGTAATGTTATATGTTCAGTAATTCTGGTGTAATCTCCCTCATGTGTAATGTTATATGTTCAGTAATTCTGGTGTAATCTCCACCCATGTGTAATGTTACATGTTCAGCAATTCTGGTGTAATCTCCCCCATGTGTAATGTCACATGTTCAGTAATTCTGGTGTAATCTCCCTCATGTGTAATTTTACATGTTCAGTAATTCTGGTGTAATCTCCCTCATGTGTAATGTTATATGTTCAGTAATTCTGGTGTAATCTCCCTCATGTGTAATGTTATATGTTCAGTAATTCTGGTGTAATCTCCACCCATGTGTAATGTTACATGTTCAGCAATTCTGGTGTAATCTCCCCCATGTGTAATGTCACATGTTCAGTAATTCTGGTGTAATCTCCCTCATGTGTAATTTTACATGTTCAGTAATTCTGGTGTAATCTCCCTCATGTGTAATGTTATATGTTCAGTAATTCTGGTGTAATCTCCCTCATGTGTAATGTTATATGTTCAGTAATTCTGGTGTAATCTCCACCCATGTGTAATGTTACATGTTCAGTAATTCTGAAGTAATCTCCCCCATGTGTAATGTTGTTCAGTAATTCTGAAGTAATCTCCCCCATGTGTAATGTTACATGTTCAGTAATTCTGGAGTAATCTCCCCCATGTGTAATGTTACATGTTCAGTAATTCTGTTATAATCTCTCCCAGCAACTGCTAACACAAGAAATGGAATTCAGTGGACTCCTACAAAACAGCTTCAAGATCTTCACTTTGCTATTTGTTTTTCTGTCTCACTCACGGAATCAGATGCAAGATCAATGAATTATGCTTGAAATGAGATCACAACACTAAGTCTATAAATCCAAAATGGAAAAACAAAGATAATAGGAACAAATAAGCCAAATAGTAATGTGGTTTCTCGTAATGGTAACCCAGTACAAGATGTGGAGCCATACACCTATTTGGGCAGTAATGTAGATAAAGATTAGGGAATTCATACAGATATTAAAATACGAATACCAAAGGCAAGAAGACCTTACGTTACACCAGGAAACTTGTGAAGGTCAAAAGAAATTAAAACTAATACTAAACTAAAAAAAATTTTTCTAATGTCAAATCAATACTGTTGCGGGGAGTAGAAACATGGAGAACAACTACAACAATTGCCAATAAACTACAAATATTCATTAACTGGTCCCTGGGGAATGAGGTCATAAGAGAATAAGGCACCACAGAACCATTCCTAAATTACATACAAGGACAGCAAATTAATTGGTTTGCACACTTAGACAGAATGCTTTGTGATGCTATACAATATAAGGCATACATGAAAAGAGAAGGATAGAAGGATACAGAGCACAAGGTAGACCAAGAACAAGATGGAAAGATAACAGCAGAGAAATTCAACAACAGCATCATGCAATGTGTCTATGGTCCAGGTGGCCAAAAAAGCAAGAAGCAGAAACCTTTTATCCCCTTCAACAACCAAAGTGGTATAAGAGGAAGTAAAGAAGAAGACAAAAGTGGTGGTTGCCTCTTGTCTGTGAAACAGGTATCAAGAAATTCATTGATATGGTTTAGTTTGTGTTCTATGACATGAAATATTCTATTATCAACTCCAGTAAAACTGAAAATCAATCACTGTGATGGATATCTAACATTGTTGTATGGTGACGACCTACTGGAGTCAGAACTAAAAGTTAGAAGTCTAATTTTCTTCATCTTCTGCATTAGCCCTTAAAAGGGTAGTTGGCCCATTGTGCAGTGGTTCATAGCTAGGCTGTGATATCTGCACCTTTCAGACTGCCGCATTTGATTTCAGCAGTTTTAATGAGTCAATTTTTAATTAGTGACTTTGTACAACAATCATAAGTGGCACGTGGTCTATTCTTGTTTTCCCCAAAATGGGACACCATGGCCACATGGGGAGAAGAAGTCTACAAAAAGCTAGCATAAGCTGATTCATGATCTATGCTGCATGTGAGGAAGAAAGTCAGAAGTAGAATTCCTACATTTACTGAGTGAGACAAAAACACATGTCAATGTGTTCACCGGCTGTAAACTCCAGCTGAAAGTCCTGGGTGTTCGGCCCCCTTCAGACTTAGTCTTGTTCCAGAACCTGAGTGTTGCGTGCACATCCATTTTACAGATCTGACTCATCTGTATACAGACTTTGTTCCTTGCCTCCCAGGCAGATGTACTCCGACCTCGAAGGATGCCCCCAATTAGTAGACTCCCGCGTTATGCTTGCTGGCGAGGCAGTGGGTGTATTCTTGTTTTCCCCACAACAGGGCCCCCAAAACTCACACCGGAAAGGTAATGTAATCAATCACTAAAAGCTTAAGACAAAGGAAAACATAACAGCAAAATTCAGTAACCTACTTGTCTACACCTCCAGTCAGTTTCCTGATATACGAATGATACGACAAAAACTTGATTGGTGGGTCACATTTGTTGAGAAATTCCTTGTCATATGGCTGTGGAGCAGACAGTTTACATTTTTGTACTGGTTACCAATGTTAAATATATTTTTATTTATCTCTCTCTCTACATATAAATATATCAGAGGGTTTAGCATCACTGGAACAGGGGGTAGTAAAAAAAAAAGTAATAAAATCGGCACATCATGCGTTCATTGGGCTTCTAGTCAGGAACCTATGAATGTATGATGCGTTCCTTGGGACTCAAAGAGTTAAATATATGTATGTATATATCTGAACATATTAAATAGTACATTGCAACAGTCTGGTCTAAATTAAAGTGGCATATTCGTTTAAGGATTTCAGAAACCAGAACAGGTTCAGTTAAGAAACTATATTGCAATCTGTCCAAAGTTTAATGCTATATATTCAGCAATTTGGCTGTAATCTGTACTATTCTTCTTTTACATCTGACTTAACAAGTGTTGGTGGCATGTTTTGTTGTGATTTACAGCCAGGTTGTAACATCTGTATCTTTCAGCCCCAACACATCCCATTTAAGAAAATCCATAATAGTTGCCTTTTACATGTTTGTTATGGCTATGAAAGCACAAAGGGCTGGAGAATTGACCAAAGAAAGAGAGACTTTCAGGCCTTGTCCCATAGTCAAAGTGGGCGCCACCTAAAAAGGTTGAAGGCCACTACACTATACAGTATCATCAAAATCACACAGCAGTCAATTCTTTCATTGTGTTCTATCCAGTGTAACCCCCCCCCCCCTAATCATGTAGGGGGTCCAGCCCAGTACCCATGGATTCCCATCCAATATTTATCTAAGGATTTCTTAGTATTAACTGGCACCATTAGTATGGGAACAGAAGACGCCGTGGTCTAGCGGCTAGACGCTTGCCTGTGGATTGGAAGTGGGCTTGGTTCCTGACAAGGACCAGTTTTTTTTTCTTCCAAAAATTACCTTGGCTCCCATGTCAACCCAGCCTTGAGTGGGTTCCATGTACAACCCTGAGAAGTAAAGGCAGCCGGCGTTTGGTCTATAAAATATATGTCTAGCCCTATCTACTCAATATGCCAGAAAGGCGTGGAAAAGGGTCATTTTTTTTTTTTATTTGTATGGGAACACTTCTTTGGCTACTGAGGAAGGGAACAGAGCACGAATGGGAATGCCCCGAGAGCAGTGATGTAAATTTTTGATCGACTGATTTATTCATTTTTAGCATTACATTTTTTAGTCAAGCAGGAGGCATGATTGGTCAATGACTTCCGCATAGTGGCTTTCATCAACAACCATCATATTCCCCTCTGTACACCACACACCACTTGGCTAGTGTGTGTTTACAGCACTGGCATTCTATTCAAGTTTCTGTAACATAACTGTTTTTACAGGATGAGGGAAATTGTTACATTATCAATAGGAAACCAAACAGGTACCTCCAGGGGAACACAATGAAGACACTTTCCTTGGGGCCCATGTCTGCACCTGAAATCAACAATTAAACTTGGTTTCAAATAATGACTCTATGCAAATAATATATACATATATTTATAGTGGAGCTGAAATAATGTGCATTTGGCCTGACACATATAGCTTATTCACAGCATTTGTCATTCATGTTCACTTTCCTTTAAAAAAAAAAAAAAAAAGAGAGAATATTATTTCTGAATTTGTGGAAACTAAGCCTTACAGACCATTGAGTCAACTAAAACAGCCAATACTGTAGATATAGATAATCATTGCTCATTTAAAGATCATATTCACAGCATATCGGACATGATCATACATACTCTGATCTTCTTTTAAGTATGTTTCAAGTCTTTTTAGACTAACAACTCCGATCAATTTCAAGAAAAAGAAGCAGAAGGCTCCTGATTTTATTTCTTTATTTATATCAGTGGCTCTCAAATATCCAAATGCAGCAACCCTTTAATACAGATCCTCATGTTGTGGCGGCCCCAACCATACAATTATTTACGTTGCTACTTCATAACTTCAGTTTTCCAATAGTCTTCGGCGTCCTCTGTGAAAGAGTCGTTTGACCCACAAAAGGGTCGTGACCAATAGGTTGAGAACCGCTGATTTATATCAATATAACAGCTCTCTGCCCACTTAAGCATTCATTCTCAAATGCAAGATCTATGTTTCAATAAATTTCTACATTTTCTTTTAAAACTGAATATTCTCTTTAATAAATCCCCTAAAGTAAACCAGAATTACTTAATATTGTCTAACACCAACATTTACAGTGAAGGTGATACTAGAGACAACATTGCAGATATGATTTATTTCAAGCGAACGATAGAAGAAGATTTAGGGTTATTCTCACATGCTGCCTTTTTTGTGGTCCTCATCACATTAAGGGAGTTGAGGCAAAATAGTGGCTAGGCACGCACCTGCCAGCTTAAAGGTCTTGGTATCCAATCCCCCTTAAACAGATCCCCAACCCAACCCAGCCCCCCCCCCCCCCCCCAAAAAAAAAATTGGCTACCAAATATGACCCAGCTCAAAATGAGTACCAGTTAATGTCATGGGAAGCAAAGGTGGCCGATGCAACGCTGACCATATCACTCACCAAGTGCCAGTTAGTCTATAAAAACGAGTCTAGCTTTAAATGTCTGATGTGCTACTGGCATAAAAAAAGGTCCTCTATTTTCTTTCCACTGTCTGGTATCATTACTGTATGTTCTCATTCTCTATATTTTCATTATTGTTCTCTTTATTACTTATATTTTTGTGTGTTCCCCTTTTCACTGTTCTCACTAAATATTTTTGATCCTTTTTCTGTATCTTAATTACTTTTATCTCTTCTCCTTTCTTAATCATTTTAAATATTACTGACTATTCTTGCTATTTTTGCTCACCCACTGTTCTTTTTTTTTTTTAAAGTATTTTTGCCCCTTTTGGACTGCTCATTCCTTTATTAAATATTCTAACTTTCTTACCTTTCTCTATTCTCTTCAACACTAAAAACTTTCTAGTGCAATTCTATTCACACCCAACTAATTTTCTTACAGTGCTGAATAATTTTCTTTCATTAATGAAATTATGTTTGTATCATTTTCTATCTCAGTTCTATCTTTCTTGTTAAATTGTAATATGGAGCAAAACTGATCCCAAATAACTCACAGCTGTTCATTCCGCTGCCTATATATCTTGCCATCCTCCTCTCGCAACAGCCGATCCACCTCATCTTCTTGGACGTCAGATACCAGAGTTGCCAAACCGGTCTCAATGCTGGACACTGAAGGTGTGTCAGCTACTGATGGTGCTGAAGTTGTCTGTTTGGTCTTTTTGCTGAGCTCCATATACAACATGTCTCCATGCCTGTGAATAACACACAAATGTTCTATAATGCGGCCAACAAATATAAAAGGTCACAAATTAGGTCAGCATACTAAACTATAAAAATAAATTTTTTAAAGTGAACAGCCATCGGAATCAAAATATTTAAAGCTTTGTATGTAGGCCTGAACTTTAAATGCAGTCATTTTACTACAGGTATCTAAAGACAACAGTATTTCTAAATGTAGTAACTGTGGGGTTTGAACATTTTAGTTGCGTTCAACCAACATCTTACATCTCTTGTGGGTTCAGGGACCCCATTTGGGGAGAAAGTTAGTTGTGTATACTTTACAGGACGTGGCAGAACCAACTCCAGCATTTTTTGTTGTTGTTGCTCTTGTGGTTTTTCTAGGAAAATTTACATCCAGGAGTTTTCTGGACGGTTGGCTTCAAGATACCATTGTCGAAACCAACACAAGGCCCGCAGCTAGGATCGAACCCGGCACCTCGACATTACGAAGCGTGTTGGCAACGCCTAAGCCACAGACCATGACATCTGGTGGAAGAAGGTAAACACGAATACACCCACTGGATCCCTAATAGGAATGTCATAAAAATCGACTAATTAGGGGCGTTTCTTTTGAAGTTGGGGTGATTCTACCTGCTGGGCAAGGAACCCACAGCCTGCAACTGACTAAGCCAGATAATGAAAGTGAATATGTATTCAAACTCAAGTTCTGGAAGTGGATGAACAACTAGAACTCTGCGCCAAAGTTTACAGTCAGTGAACACGAAGAAGAAGAGCATCTTATACATACACATGCATGCTGGTAGGCAGGCAGACATCCTTCACATCAACTCTCATTTCATATCTGGGCGAGCTGCAATTGTCTCAACAGAAAAAATTTTCTGGACAAGCTTCACGTCTTGTTTAAAGTATTAATCAGTCACATGCAACTTTTATTTTTATGCCACTCAAACAAAGCAAATATTCACCAGTACAAAATCCTTAATTATTCACCGTTTTACTATATGCTTGTTAAGAGATAGTGGGTCTGTTTTTGTTTTGCCCCCAAAACATGGGGCCCCCTAACCTACACAGGGATCACTTAATCTAAACACAGACATTAACACCATCAAAAGTCTGAGCCATTTGGGCAGTTGTGAAGTTCTATGATCAGTCCTGTCCAGGTTCTGTTTTGTTGCTGCTCTCTTTAATCTGATAATGGTCTGCGTTAATGGATTACAGGCACATTTTATGCTGCTCTTGGTCTACTGTTTCCTCATGTCCCTGCTACTGTGTCCACCAGAACTCTCTTTGATGTATTGTTAGCATACGGCACAACCATACAAGTCTCAATATTACTTTATTTTTTAACCTCAACTCTTTTTAGTCCCAGGCAAGCGTTATTTTAACTCATTATATCCTAAATATGTGTTACTTACAGTAAGACATGTCTGAGTGGGTTCAAAACATTACACTATAGCAGAATGACTTAAGCAAATGCTGGAACTGGATGGGTTAATGTACTAACTAGATGATAAATAAGGAGTTTAAAAGGAAAACAGTATATTAGGTGAAGAGTAACCACTGAGTTCCTTGGTAAATAAAGAGTTAAGACCCACTGTCCCCCGTCCCAATCTAACAAGCATGTTATAAAAGGTGACTAGTTGGGTGTTTTTCCTCCAAGGTCACATCTGCCTGAGAAGTGAGGAACCAACTATCTGAATTCTTCATCTTCTTCTGCATTCATCCGAAGATGTAACTGCACTGTGCCCGTTGACAGTATGGCTGCATACCAATAAGCCAGATCTAAAAAATGGATGTGCACGCACAACTCAAGTTCTGAAACAAGACCAAAGTCTAGAAGTGGATAAACAACCAGAACTTTGCATCAAAGTTTACAGTTGATGAATGCAAAGAAGAAGTGAACTTTTCCATTCAGAAATATGTCATCTCACCCACTGTAATGTTAAATGTTCAGTAATTATGTTGTAACATGTTCAATGTTAATGTTCAGTCGTTCTGTTGCAATTTTTTCAATGTACAATGTTACATGTTCAGTCATTCTATTGTAATCTGTTTCATCTCTAATGTTACATGTTTGGTAATTGGGTTGTAATATGTGCAATGTTTGATGTTCTTCTTCTTCTTCGCGTTCACCAGCTGTAAACTCTGGCGGAAGGTTCTGGTTGCTCGTCCACTACTGAACTGCAGTCCTGCTCCAGAACCTGAGTGTTGCGTGTGCATCAGTTTTACAGATCTCATTCTCTTGAATACAGACTGTTGGTTCCTTGCCTCTCCGGCAGATGCACTCCGACTTCAAAGGAAGCTCCCCAATTAGTCGACTCTTACGACATGCTTTTGGGGAGGCAGTGGGTCTATTCTTGTTTTCCCAACAATGGGGCCCCGGAACCCACACGGGGGTGTTTGATGTTAATGTTCAGTCATTCTGTTGTAATTTGTTCAATGTGTAATGTTACATGTTCAGTCATTCTGTTGTCATTTGTTCAATGTGTAATGTTACATGTTCAGTCATTCTGTTGTCATCTGTCTCATCTCTAATGTTACAATAACTATTTTGTAATCTGTCTCATGTGTAATGTTAGATGTTCAGTAATTCTTGTTTAGCTAGTACTTTTAACTGTTTTACAACATCACACCTCAAATGACTATGGGTTTTCTGTATTTTCATGTACTGTCCATATTTCAGAAGGCAGCTGGTCATATATACATTCAAAATATTCTTCATCATACATACAATTATTCAATCTTTGAACTCAAACTCTGACCCATTGGCCCTAAACAAACATGTCATACAATGCGACTAATTTATGGTTTGCTGAAATAAGATGTGGACAGAAAGGTGAAGATACTGCAGCCTACATGGAAACCACAACATGCCAACTGCCCTTTTAAGGGCAAATGCAGACGAATTCTAAATAAAAGGTGCTGAAAATAAATATATCTCCAACGTAATATGAAAAAAAAAAACCAGCACACATTAGGTGCCATCTTTCTAGAGCACTTCTTGGCTAATATATAACTGTGAACAGAAGAAACTTGATGGAAGAACTACAGCACAGCAACCCATTGTTTCTTACATTTATATGAATGTATATGAAGTTTAACATTCCATTTACACTCACTTAATATTGTGGTCACTCAGCCTTTTAGAACGAGATGCCCGTAAAAAGGATTTTTTATTGCGATCCTGGTACAGTTCCCAACCGGTATCTCCAAGTCCAAACAATTTCTGCACCTGAGAAAATCATTAGTGAACATTAAATGCATGTAATTATAACTCTAAGATAAAAAATAGACAAATGCATGTAAAATACTAAAGTACATTTTTACTGAGTGAGGTAAACAGTTCCTTTCCTTGCCACTGATTCATATATTAATCCCGAGCAAAGTTATGACTCAAGTTTTATACAAAAAATCTGGAGCCCAAATATGAATCTGATACTGAAGTTCAAAATAAAAACCCCTTAGAAGGTTGAGGTGTATGGACACTTAGCAATTTAGCAGAAACTATACTATGCACAGCAGCTAAAAAAAATACACCTTTTGGCCGGGAATGGGTCTATTCTTGTTTTCCCCATAATAGGGTCCCAGAACCCACAAGGGGAAGTACAGCAGAAATTATACTGTGTGCATTATCGAAAAAATACACAAGACTGTTATCATGACAGTGTTAGCAGAAACTTTACTGTGCACACCAGACTGTGGTAAAGCACAAACCATACTAGGTAAAAAAAAAAAAAAAGCCAAGGTATAAACTAAAGTGATAATCAGCTGTACAGCAGAAATTACACTGCATATATTTTCGAAAGACACACCCGATTTTCATCACACAGTATTAATAGAAACTATACATAAGACAGTTATCCTGACAGTGATAACAAAACCTATGCATATCAGCTAATGATACCGTTACCCGGAGTGTGGTATATCAAAAACTATACTGTGTGCATTCGCAATTAAATTCTAAGCAGTTCTCTTTACACTGGTATAGCAAAAAGTCCTTTTTGTTTCAAATAACCATATCTGTTTCCATTGTTAAATACAAACTGACTGAAGCTTCACTCATCAAAACTGCCTATTCATCAAAGTTTGTGTGGCCAGTCTGCTGCTCTATGATTCTCAAAACATTTATATAAGTGTGATACTGACCATATCACCCATCAAGTGTCAACTGATCTATAAAAACATGAGTGCAGTATCATAAGCCATATGTGGTTTCAAACTGCTGTCATAGCTGGAGAATCAGAACTGAGGATGAGCTCTCAACTCTCATCAAATACCCCTAAGACAAGTGCCTTCCTCACCTCTGACAGCAAAAGTCCAACTCCTGACCCTTTTAAACTAATAGGAGGAGGGGCAACAGTGAGTACCTGCAGCTGTAAACTCGGTTCCTCAGATGTGATCAGTCTACTATAGCAAAACAAGGTGCTGAAGCTGGAGGCAACCAGCCAGGAGGTACACCACAGCAATCAGGATGCCATGCATACACACCATTGAAGGCAAACAAAAGAAGAAGCCATATGTGACTCTGGCATGACAAGGGTTGTTTACTTTTTTGCTTTTTTATAAATGCCAAAAACATTTAAAATGTTTACATGAGAATATTAAGAGCGAACTCTAAGACAAATCCACTTTCAACCAACCTTTTCAAGGAATGCTGTCATGTTTTCAGAGGTATTTGTATCCAGTCGCTTGGTTCCATGCTCTGGAGATTGTATGCGAATTACCTGTAAAATATTACATCGCTATTATCCGAGCTTTACAAAACATCTACAAATTTCACTTTGCCACATCATGTACAAAAATGACTTCACCTTCTTTTTCTCTGCTTATTATCTGCCAATGGACTACAGGTCCTCAACCAACTCATGCCAAGTTATTCTATCCTTTGCTATCGATGCAGCTCACCCCTCCCCTTAATCTTTTTAACTTTACTCTCTAGATCCTTGGATTTTCTTTTTGGTTTACCTTTTTCTCTATGACCCTGTATGTTTTGTTCCAGTGTAAAGATCTAGTCATACTGTTTTTAGGTTTTTCTCAATATGTGTCCTACCCCGCATGAGCGTCCTTTCTTCGCCTCTTGATTTAACAGAATTTGTTTAGTTCTCTACCAAAGGTCCTCATCAGTGATTCTACCACACTATTTAATTTCCTCTGTTCTGGGCAGGTACCAATTCATGAATGTCTGTAGTTTATCACATTAGGCTTGGAATTAAAGAAAATACTTATATCAATGAAAACTCACTCACTCATCAATTATTATAAACAATTTATAAGGGCATGGATTTGTTCCAGCTGAAATGACACCTAAAACCTAAAATGATGTCACTGTGGTGGGAAACCTTGAAAAAGTTAACCCAGAGAGGGAATGAAAGAGTTAGAGCTAACCCTAACCTGAAGCAATATTAAATATTACAGAATATCATTATGTGAACATGCACAAATAGCGGACTGTCTCTCTTATGGTTGCTGTAAACAAACAATAGACTGCGTCCTCTGGGATCGCCATTTGAAGAAGTGCCCTAGCTTCTCCACTGAAAACGCATATAAATTTTAATGATATGGGGATGTGCAAAGATCAACTGGCATTGTCAAAAACAGTACTTACGATCAGGGCTTGTTTCTAGAAAAAAAGGCGCTGAAACTCACCAAAAAGTGTCTAAACAAGCTGCCAGAACTCATGTAACTTTAAATGGTGACATTCTTCAAACAAAAAATGGTTTTAAAATGAATATTTTCCCCATGTCGGTTCCACTGCCTCTTTGGGGGAGGTGTAAACTCCACTGCCTCTAGCTTTAAGCATGTCATAAAGGTGAAGATTTTGAGGGTTTAGTGAGTAGTGACGTCAGATGTGTTGGGGCTTAAGTGTGCGAATATCACAGTAAGTGTAACCAACAAAAGAAAAATGGGCTAATTTCCGAATAACAGTCCCAAATTATCGAGGCTAAGAAAATACCCTAACAGGGCCTCAGTCATATGTAAATTGCAGACCTATTTCCGGCGACTATACTGCTCCCGCCAAGAATAATCCCCGGGCCGCTAGGCACAGAGCGAAGGGGGGCTAAACTAGATGGCTGGGACTCGCGAGCAAATAAAATGGAGGAAGCTGCAGGAGATGAGGTAGCTGCTGCTCATGAGTCCCAGCCATCTAGTTTAGCCCCCCTCCGTGCCCCGCGTTCTCTCGGCCGTGACTTTAACTCGGCGGAAGCTTTTCCGCAGTATGCGGTATAGTCACCGGAAAGAGGTCTGCAATTTACATATGACTGAGGCCCTGTTAGGGTATTTTCTTAGCCTCGATAATTTGGGACTGTTATTCGGAGGATAGTCAAAAAATGTGTCAACTGCTCTTTTAAGGAAGAACGCAGAAAAGAATTTAATATATAAGCACAAGTAAAGCAGGGCCAAAATGCCACGTAGTAATGTGCAACAGCTCAGAGATTGTCACTGTGTCAACTGTCCACTTTTTCTCTCCGTCTCCCATGTTAACAATCAATCTGTATTTAATTTAGTTAACTTATTTACTACGGCTACGTTTCCTTTTTTTACTCTTATAATGATCTGAACTAGACGTTCAACCAGCTTCATATTGATCAACTTTTAACTCACCAATAAACTGAAAGTGTATCTTTGTTTTAATCAAGCGCCATTCAATTATCAAACAATAAAAATAAAATAAATACATTATATTACTGAATACTCCAATCAATAATACTGAAAAAAAAAAATTCATTTCACTGGCACAAAAAAGACCACACAACCACAGCAACGTAACATTAATTATGATTAATGATTAACACAGCTTACAATGTTTGACATGTTGAAGCTATTTTCTTATACTGGCTGGCGACTATAAATAAGTCACGTTCTGATAACTACTGCCTTATTTGCAATCTTTGACTATTCGAAACAGAGCAGAGATCAAGATCGTCTTCCACAAAAGCGCCTATGATACGGCATATTCGGCCATTAATGTTTCGATCTCGTTAGTGTGTCGCTCTCACGAGGTTGTAGTCTGCCCTTATTATTTTATGCGTTATTATAATAATCAACATAGAAACAGTAATAAAATAGGACTTTTGTTAGTTTTAAGCTATTTTAAACCATGCTCTGTTTAATATGTTTATTATTTCAACAGCAATTTGAAATGTAATGATAACTCTTGTTTAAAATAAAATAGCATTGTTCATGCACCCGTTGTCAATGTAAACAAATCTCAGCGACCATCTTTTGACAAACTTTGCACATTTTCCCTTAAAAATAAACACTATAATATGAATATATGGACATTGTTGTGTGAATGGGGCACATCAGGAAGGGAATGAGAATTTAGGAATAAATGATTGCAGAAAAGATGAGAGCCGAGCATCTGATAAGAAACAGACTAAACATAAATGGTGACAACAATGGTCCTTCTTCTTCTTCTTCTTCTTCTTCTTCTTCTTCTGCGTTCGACATCAGTCATACTACACATTTGAGTCCCGTCTGGGTCAAAAATAGGATTGTGCTTTTAAGGTCGCCACCGGTCCCCCATAGCTTCTCTCGCAATGTGGATCCCCTGGGCCAGATCCACAGTCTTTGCTGGGAGAGGTAAAGGCAGTACTGCAGTATGTGCTCATGGGTCTGTCTTTCTGCTCCACAATCACAGGCAGCAGATTCTTTTTATCCTATCCTGTACAGGTGTTCTCGAATACCACAGTCCGAAGTCTAAAAATTGATGTTTGTTCTTTCCTGTTGAGTTTGTTTATGCATTCACATTCACTCTCTGGTCTGTAATCTCTATTTTGCTTTCTCCACCCACTCCCGCTTGAAAGACTGCTTTAGTGCTGTTTTGGTTTCCTTGTAGCTGTGTGGTGGATGAGGTTGTGGAAGATTACTCCCAGCTTTTGCCAACTCATCTGCTCTCCTTGAATACAACAATGGTCCTAAAATCCGATGCTGTAAATGTAATTTTTGAAGACTTTCCTTAACCCGGGCGGGTCTTGATAGTCACACTCGCCATGGTCATAGGCCGTGAATCCCATGCCTCCTATAGCGCAATATAACAATATCGTCTGGAAAGACGGAAAGGTACCGGTTAGTCAAATTGGCTCTCCTTTAAATAACGGTCGCCAGCTGGAAGGCGACGGTCGCTTAGTCGGAGTTCACTCCCTTGGCTGCAGTGCAAATACGGAGTGGTAAAGAGGGAACGAAACAAATGATATAGTTACCTGTCATCCTAGGGTTAGGATTAGGGGTAGCGTTAGGGTTAGGGTTTGGGGTAGGGTTAGGGTGTGGGTTAGGCTGGGGTTAGGGTTAGGGGTAGAGTTAGGGTGACACATCACGGACACGACGGAAGCTTAACGCTCATTACGACATACAGATCTGCAGGTCTCACATCTACGGTCCCTAAGTCGTGCGTCGGAAGAACGTAGTCGCAGCGCGTGGTCTACGCGAGTCTTGCGTCGCAAGACCGCGGTCGCTACTGTCAGTCGCAGCGCGTGGTCTAGCTCTAGCAGGCATGTCAACCTCACTTTGTTTTTTTATTCATGACTTGTCCGCTCCGTATTTGTACTGCAGCCAAGGGAGTAAACTCCAACTAAGCGGCCGTTGCCTTCCAGCTAGCGACCGTTGTTTAAAGGAGACCCGTCAAATTATACAAGGTCCCACAATTAAGTAATGAGACTGATTTTATTAATTATAGCCAAGACAAAAATGCCATCTATAAAGCAAAGCATGGAATCTAAAGGGGCAACATTCACCTATGAGCTGGCAACTTTTCATCGCCACTGGATTAGCAGACTTAAAAAAAAGCCGCCATTTGGGTGACCTAGTCAGATGTACATTGTTACGTAATCTGCACAGAGCAAAAGGCTAACATTAAATTCTTTTTAAAACTCAGAAAAAGCACCATTAAAATAGTTGAATTGATGCAACAAGTTTATGAGGATAATTGTTTATCTCGTGCACAAATTTTCAGGTGATATTCAAGATTTGAAAGTGGTGTGGAAATGATTACTTATGCACCTAGACCAGGACGCCCAATTTCTGTCCGCAATGATGAACTCATTGCAAAAGTCAGAACAGATACAAAAAGATTATTGTTGTACTGTGAGGATTATGGCAGATAAATCTGGTGCTAATAATAGAGAGACCATTCATAACATTTTAGTGCAAGATTTTGGCAAGAAAAAAGTTGCTTGTCGGTTAGTACTATATTCGTTGTCTGATGACCAAAAACATCAGTGGGTTGAGTACCCAAGAGACATCATCAAAACAATAATTTTTGGCCCAAAAACAAGTGTTTGTTCTCAACCATCTACCATATTTCCCAGATTAGTCTCCCTGTGTTTATTTTCTATTCCCATAATTCAAGTTGCCATTAAAAGGACGCTTCTTTAACGATATTGATGACATCCAAAGGGCCATCGATTTTAAGGGCCATAACAACAGAAGAACTACAGAGGTCGTTCCAGTGTTTGTTAGATAGTGCCACTCGATGTATCAATGCACAAGGTGGTTACTTTGAATCAGATACAGGTTATATCTTCAGCTTTTGATTATTTTAATTTTTATGGAATTTATCTCATTACTTAATTGTCGGACCTAGTATTACTCTGCATTTGGGTGAAATATCGAGAATGTGCAGTGACATTGACTGTGATAATGTAACATAACAAATAACTTGTTATAACATTATCTTTACTCAGTAGTCTCAGTAGTGGTTGTGGGGGGGGGGGGGGCATGACAGGGATTCAAATGAGTGACAAGCTGGCTAGTTACTGCTCTACTATGGCTCGCACTGAAAAAAAGTGTTGGCACTCTTGCGAATACCGGTCTCAAATTATTCACTGCGAAAAACATCCCTGTGAGAGCCTCAGGAGGTTATGTAGTAAAAACATTTAGGCCATCATCATCAGTTTCCACTTCTGCCATTATTGCTTGATGAAATCGATGGATAGCAATGTTTAGAGGTTAAGCTAAGTGCTGTGGGGAGGAATAGTTTTCGATCCATTAAAGCGTCGAGGGAAGGAAAAGATTTTAATCAATTGTTCACATTACTCATGACTCGCCTTGTGAGTTCCAGAGCCACATGTTTGAGGGAAACAAATAATAAATCCACTGCCACCTAAAAAGCATGTTGTAAAAAGCAACTTATGAGGACTTTGCTGAAATCGGATGTGTTGGTGTGTGAGGCCCAGATATCGCAGTCTAGCTGTAAACCACAACATAACTTGCCAACTGCCCTTTAAGGGCTAAACATAATTATCGCATGGCGGGAAGCGAACACCGGTCACCAGTGTGACAGGTGGAATACTTACAACTGTATTACAGAAAACTCAAGAGTTCAGTTCCCATAAAATTATATAATAACGCAAAGCATAGTTCGTAGTGTTCCTATTCCATATCTTTAACTTTATGACCTGTTGAGGTCCTGGATGGGATTTTTTAAATAGTGAATAATTTGGGACCGGTATTCTGAAGAGTGCCAAAATTTCACAGTCCATGCCTTGTAGCATTGGTAATCATCACCGTCTTCTGTCTCACATGCTGTTAATAATTTCTGATATAAATGTTTCACAATGCCATGATACTAAACTGTCTAGCATTCCACATCCCCTTTAAAAAAAATAACCCTGGAGTCTTTCTCTTTGTCCTCCAGTTTTCCTTTTCTAATAACATGCATAGACAATGAAGATTGGCTGCTTCCGATGCTGGTCATTGATTCTCTTTTGTGGTTAATTTATTTCAAGGCACATATACTACACTTTTCATGTGTCTTCTTCTTCTTCTTCTTCCTTAGCATTCCAAGTCCTTGAGGTTCACTGCCGCAGAAATCACCTGCCTCCACTCATCTCTCTGGTTGGCCTTCTCTTTCCAGTTGGCAATACCAAGTGTTTGCAGGTCTCTGGACATTATCTCTCCATCATTTTCTTGGTCTGCCTTGTGGTCTACGACCATTCATCTCCCTTGTATATACAGTTTTTACCTCTCTGTCATCTGACATTCTTTCAATTTGCTCCAGCCATTTCAACCTATTAGCTCTCATGATGCCAATGATCAATGGTGATTTAAATAGATTATGAATTTAATTGTTGCTTCTAACTCTCGATTACCCGCTGTTTACATCTTTGACAGGTCCAGATTCATTGTAAAACTCTGTTTTTGAAAAAACTGTAATAAGCCTTCATCTCTTTTAGTTGTGCTCCAAGTTTCAGAGCCTTATGAAACAACTGGTCTTATCAAGGTTTTATATATTTTGATCTTGGTGTTGCGAGATAGACACTTTGACTTTAGCAGATGTTGAATGGCATAGTATACTTTTTTATTTCCAGATTTTCATATGTCTATGGTGTTTAAAAGACACATCTGTAGTCTCCACGTAATTCTTCACCAATCTGCTGATGGTTGTCCACAATTCACTTCTAAACATCCAGTGCAGGTTCCGGGGCCCCATTGTGGGGAAAACAAGAATAGACCCACTGTATACCCAAAAGCATCTCATAAAAGTCGACTAATTGGGGAGCTTCCTTTGAAGTCGGAGTGCATCTGCCTGAGGGGCAAGGAACCAACAGTCTGCATTCAAGTGAATTAGATCTGTAAAACTGATGCACATGCAACACTCAGGTTCTGAAGCAGGACTGCAGTTCAGAAAGTGGACGAACAATCAGAACTTTCCGCTAGAGTTTACAGCTGGTGAACGCGAAGAAGAAGAAGAAGAAGAAGACTTCTAAACATCGGGGGCTGACTCTAGCTCTCATGAACTAGAGCAACTGGGACTGAGAGGGCAGTTGAGAACTCATGCCATGAAACTGGTGGGTGAGGCCACATAGGCAGCC